CTTGCACTTGTGAGGCAGGCTGCGGAACCACTGAGCTAAATCCCCGGTCCACCATCGGCTTTGTGACAACATCACTGGTGGGGCATAGCGCATGCTTAGTGTGCTCAAGGCCCTAGGTTCAACCCCCAGCACCAAAAATAATAGTTTGCTTTCAGTTCAGTGTGTGTGTGTGCTCGTGTGCACACGCACGTGCTGATCTGTGAGAGGTATCTGTGGGTCACTGTGGGGACAGTGGGAAGCCATTGCTTACTCACTTCTTTCCCCTCTCACCCTTTATTTCTCAGCCAGGCTTGTGCATCATTGGACTTTTGCCTTGAAATAAGATTGATGATGAAAGAAAGGAATGTGGGTGAGAGTTCAGAACCCAGGGAAAGTGAGGCCTGACTTTCCCCAGTGCTGGGCTGGTTCCCCACCCCTGCCCCTGCCTCCAGGTAAGACCCCGCCTCACCTGCCTCCCAGAGTGGGAGCCAGACTCTCTAGGCAGCTAAGGCCCAAGCCCACTCTGAGGTTGATGCCTGGCCTGGGGCAAATTATTTTCTGGGAGTCTCAGATTTGTCAGCAGTAAAATGGGGGCATTGTTTGCAGGATTGTGCATGGAGACCAAGCTGTGACAGACCGTGTGCTGGTGACTTGTGTGCTGTGGGCTTGTGCAACACTCATTGCTGAGTGTCGTGGGACGGTTTATGTGCATTCTCTGTACTTAAGCTTCACAGTGAACCATTCAGAGCAGCACCTCCTCCCAGGCTGCCTGGGTTCAAATCCAGAGTCAGGATCCAGTGATAGCCCCTCACCCCTTAAGACAAGGTCACTAAGTTCCCCAGCCTGCCCAAGTTGGCTTCAAACTCACAATCCTCCTGTCTCAGCCATCTGAGTAGCTGGGATTGGTAATACAGGTCTTTCCACCAGGCCTGGCTTGACTTGATGGGTTTTAATTAATTAATTTTATTATTATTTTTTGTTGTTTTGTTTGTTTTTGGTACTAGGGATCGAACTCGGGACCTTGTGCTTTCGAGGCAGGTGGTGGAACTACTGAGCTAAATCCCTGACCTATTATTATTATTTTAGGCAGGGTCTCACTAAGTTGGTAATTTGCCTAGGGTGGGCTCAAACTTGCAATGTTCCTGCCTCCCAGAGTCCTGGGATCACCTGTGTCCACCACTATGCCAGCTTGGTTTTTATTTTTATTTAATTTATTATTGTTGTTGTTGTTGTTATTTTCTTTTGCTTTGGTACTGGGGGTTGAACCTTGGGCCTCAGAAATGCTAAGCAAATGCTCTACCACTAAGCTACATCTTCAGCCCTGAGCTTCCTTTCTTTCCTTCCTTCCTTTTTTTTATTTGGGGGGGGACTACAGGCCTGGGGCACCAGGTCCACCTATATGTTTATATGTGGATATTGGAATTTGAAGTCCATACACTCCCACCCTGGGAATTGCCATCTTCAACTATTATCCTATGATACTTTTTTTTTTCTTTTTTTTTGAGACAGGGTCTCGCTATATAGCCTAGGCTGGCCTCAAATTCCTTAAACTCATGGCAATCCTGCCTCAGCCTCCTGAGTGCTGGGATTACGGGCGTGCGCCACTACATCCGGCTTTATATTGCTTTTTTTTTTGCACCAGGGATCGAACTCAGGACCTTGCGCTTGAGAGGCAGGCACAGTGCCACTGAGCTAAATCCCCAGCCCCTTATATTTTCTTTTTTTGGTACTGGGGATCGAATTCAGGTCCTTGCGCTTGCACAGCAGGCAGCAAAACCACTGAGCTAAATCCCCAGCTTATATTTTCTTTTAAAGCAATAACTACTTAAACCATTCATGTTTTTCCTATTTGCCATCTTTTACCTTCTTTCAGCTCCATCCTTGAAATCAAGCCATCAATGAATTCTAATTGGTCAGTTCTCTGATAGTTGGTAAAATGCCCCACCCTTTCTCCACCAGAAACAAGTGGTAGGGCACTTGTATCAAGAAGTTGGCCAATGAGAGGATGGCATAGCCCAGCCGGTCCACCAATAGGCTGGTGACATTCTTGCCTCTCCAAAGGCCTCAGCCAGGAGCAGCCTCATGCCCTTGCAGTTTTGACACCTTCCCTGTATTCCTGGAGATTCCTTTCAAAGCCACTAGAGGGACACAGGATGGACAGATGGCCCGACTCCCTCCAGCCTGCCTGGGCCTTCCCCAGCCCTCTCCTCCCTGGAGTGGCTGGGAAAGGAGGCTTTCCAAGGCAAAGATAATATACATGTAAAAAATGTGGTTTCAAGCTTTTTCTTTTACTTATTTTTTTCATTTTATGAGACAATAATTTTGGCTTTCTTTTTGAAAAAACATGTTATTTTAAAGTTTGAACACCTCCTCCTTTGTCTTCCTGAGCTCTGGACGCTGACCTCCCACCCTGTCCCTGAGGTAAGACTGAGGGAAGTCTGCACACTGTGGGGGGGTACGCGTGTCAGAGGAGGGGTGCACAGCAGGTGAGGGGAGCAGGAAAGGGTTTTCAAGTGGGAGGGGGAGGGGGAGGTGTAGGCCAGCTTCAGGAACAACACGAAAAGTGAGTGCAATCAGAATTTGGTTTAAAACAGAACAATCGCTTCTCAGCCTTTTGGCTAAGATCAAGTGTAAAACAGAACAAAATAAAACCCAGAATGTCCAATTGCCCTAGGTGGAGGATATTAAAAATGCAATAAGGTAGCCGGGCATGGTGGCAAATGCCTGTAGTCCTAACACTCAGGAGGCTGAGGCAGGAGGATCAGCTTTGAGTTTGAGGCCATCCTGGGCTACATAGTGTGAGACCCTGTCTCTAAATAAATAGATAAATAAAAATAAAAGTGCAAAAAGGATTCAAAAGAGATTGGAGAAGAGGAACGCCTGGTAGCTTACAATGAGTACAGACACATGGGCCTCCTAAGGCCTTGGGGTCTTTGGGCAGAAGGGGTCTGGGGGTCCTGAAAGATGGTGAGCTGAGGTGCTGTCACGGCTCTTTTTTTACCCTCTCTACTTCAGGCAGGCATGACCCTGATTTTTGTACTGGGTTGCATCTTCTTCCCAGTGTGCTTTGCTGTCTTCCAGTGGGGCCTGCAGCACCATGCCAGCCTGCAGATGGAGAGGCAGGAGGCAGTCTTGGTGGCATCCAAGTAAGAAGACAAGGGTGAGGCTGATGGAGCTGAAGTTGTCATCTTTAACTATTAATTCTGGTTCCAGGAAGAGCTAGTGATGGAAGCCAATGGAAGTGTGGGGTGGATAGGGCTGGAGTTAAGAGTCAAGAGACACCTAGCAGGGCATGGTGGTACAGGCCTGTAATCACAGCAACTCATGAGGCTGAGGCAGGAGGATCGAAAGTTTGAGGCCAGCCTGGGCAACTTAACAAGACCTTGTCTCCAAATAAAAAATAAAGAGGATAGGGGATGTGGCTCAGTGGTAGAGCATACCACGTTTTATTCCCCGTGCTTGAGAAGAACTGTGGAGTTTTGGGTTACCCCTGAGCTTCTGCCCTCGTTTGGAAGGGACTGAATGGCAGCCCTTGCTTTCCTTCCTTCCTGAAGGTGTGAGGAGGGGATGGGAATTAATGCCTCTAAAGAAAGGACTTCGAGTCCTGCAGCAGCACAAGGGCTGCAGGCTGTGGGAGCCCTATCACGAGTGGGGTCACAGCCACTTAGCAGGGTGGCAGCTGCTCAGCTCCAACGAGACTCAGAGTCAGAATGTGAGCCCTACACTGCTTCTGACTCTTGTTTTCACTGTTTTGTGTTCTCAGTTCTGAGCATCAACCTAGGGCCTTGTGCATGTGAGGCAGGCACTCGACCACTAACCGGCACCCTAGCTCTACTTTGCATTCTTTTAAAAAAGAAGCTGGGGACCAGGGATTTAGCCCAGTGGTTCCCTCACCTGCCTCACAAGTGCAAGGACCCGAGTTCAATCCCTGGTAACAAAAAAAAAAAAAAAAAAAAAAAAGAAGAAGCTGAGCTTTTATGTGAAACCTACCAATTGTTGTAGATTAAACAGTAACTCGGAATTTAATAAAATACTATGCTAGCCAGGTGTGGTGGCCTGCACCCTTCCAAATACAAATACCCTTCCAATCTTTGTATTTGAAAGGCTGAGGCAGGGGGATCTTGAGTTCAACATGTAGCCTGGGGTACATCATTCAAGGGCAGCCTGAATTACATAGAGAAAACCTCTCTCAAAAAGCCAAAAACAGTGCACTTCAGCAGCAAGTATACTAAAATTGGAACAACACAGAGAAGGTTTGCATGGCCCCTGAGAAAGGGTGATACATGAGTTTGTGAAGCATTCCATATTTTAAAAACAAAACATACAAGCTGGGGATATAGCTCAGGGGTAGACCGCTGGCCTAGCATGTGCAAGGCCTTGGGCTCAATCCCAGTTCCATTAAAAAAGAAAGAAAGAAAAGAAAGAGAAAAGGTAAACACTGAGCTCTGCTGGCAGCATGGTATGGCCAAAGAACCCTGTCCGTGAGCAGGCCGGGCTTTGACTTTGGGTTTATGACCTGCTTGACAAAGCTGAATGTAAGGGCTGGGGATTTGGCTCAGTGGTTCTGCTGCCTGCCCCACAAGTGCAAGGTCCCGAGTTCAATCCCTGGTACAAAAAAAAAAGTCCAAAACCAAAGCTGAATGTAAACATCAGCTCTGTGAAACCCCAGGCAGATGAGGGAGCACAGAAGGCAGAACTCTAGGGTGTCTAAGTGAATTCCTCCACACAAAGCCCTGTCTTTATCCACTCATTTTCATTATCCAAGGCAAAACCACAGCTCCTGGACCAGGTCTGTTCCATCTCTTCTCCTCTTCCCAGATCAGTAGCTTTTGTATTTTGCTCATCATTGGCTTTGAAGTTAAGCGAACATTGGTTTGAAATCCAGCTTTACTATTGTCATAATTGTGTTATCTCAGCAAGTTATCTTTTTCCTCTTTCTTTCTTTCTTTCTTTCTTTCTTTCTTTTCTTTCTTTCTTTCTTAACAGTACCATTCCCTAGGAATTGAACCCAGGGCCTTTGCAATAAGCTACATCCCCAGCCCTTTTAAAATTGTTTCTTTGCATTTTATTTTGAGACAGTCTCACGAAGTTGCCCAGGCTGGCCTCAAACTTGAGATCCTCCTGGCTCAGGCTCTCAAGTAGTTGAGGTAAAAGCTGTGTGCCACCATGTCTGGCTCAAATTTTTAAAGTTTTGTTTTGTTTTTAGTCTTCTGAACCCAAGATTTTTCTTCAATAAAACAAGGATACTATCATTCGGGAAGATTAAATAAGAATCAACAAGGGGTAGGGGTGTAGCTCAGTGGTAGGTTGCTGGCCTAGCATGTGTGAGGTCCTGGGCCCAATCCCCAGCATCACACACACACACTCCCAGTGAGGAGGAGAATAGCAACGTGGATCACCTCTCACTGTGCCCATAAAACAGTAAAACTCAGGCAGTTGCGTCCCTTTTCCCTAAGTGAGTGACAAACCCGGCGACCCGGGTCGGCCTAACGGGAGGTTTCTTTGGGGGTTTCCCTCAACTGCCACTAGGGGGCAGCACAGAACCGCAAATCTCAGCCCCTTGTGGGGAGGGACTCCGGCCGGCAGTGGTTGGGGGTCGGGGTATCTCAGGGCGAACCCGACGATCAAGTACAGTTTGAGAGGCCGCTCCGTGTCCTGAAGCCCACAGCACAGGGTGCAGCAGGTCGGGGCGGGGTGGCCCACGCCTGTGGTCCCGGGGGGCTGAGCCCGGGCAACTCACCGAAACCCTGCGGGGAGGCAGGAGGAAGAGCGACGGAGCGCGGCCCGAGCCCGCTCAGCTGCCCGGAGTGAAGGCGGGGGCGGCCCCACCCTGCGTGACTCCGGACCCCACACGCGGACTGAGGCCCGACCCAGGAGTCCGGGGTCTTTTCCCGTGGAAACCGCGCTGCTCCGGGAAGCGGCGGGGAGGTCAGGGTGAGGCGCCGGCGCTGCTCCTCGCCCTTCCGGGCCACCCCAGTGCCCAGCTAGGGGCCTGGGGAGACCCCGGCGCGGCCCCGCAGGCTGAGGACCGGGGCCTCCCCTGCGGTCCACGACCGCCGCTCCCCGGGCGCCCCGAGCCCAGCCTGGTCCCGAACCGCTGGGGCCGCGCTGGGGCCTGGGAGCGAGGCCCGGAGCGAGCGCGGGCGCCGCAGCCCCCCGCGCTGCAGCTGCGGTCTCTTTAAGGCGCCCCCCCCGCCTCCCGTCTCTGTCGCAGCCGCCGCTGTGGCTCAGAGCTGCCCGGGAGACGCCGCTGCAGTCCGGCTTCTCGGGTACGGTCCGTCGGAGCCGTCGCCCCCGCCCCCCACCGCGGCGGCCCCTCCCCTCCCCTCCCCTCCCCCGGCGCCCTCGGCGGAGCCACGTGCGGCGGCCGCGCCGGGCGGCGAGAGGCGGCGGGAGCGCGGAGCTGACCCGGCCAGCGCTCGGCGCCCCCGCCTGCCGCCCTGCGCCCCCGGGCCCTCGTCCTCCCGCCCTCCGCTCCCGCCGCCCGGCCGCCTGCTCGGCCCTTCTCCCGCCCTGTCCCGCCCGGTCCCCTTTGTGCCCCCTCGCCAGCCGCGCGGAGCCCTCGGCCGCCTGTGCCCCGCGCGTCCCGCGCCACCATGCTGACCCCGATGGTGGCCGGGGGGGTGGTGTTCCCCGGACTCTTCCTCCTCTCCAAGAACACGCTCCGGCGGCTGCCCCGGCTGCGCTGGGAGGAGGCTGACGCGGTCATTGTCTCCGCCAGGTACGCGGCCCTTCCCCGGGCTCGGCCCCGCGCTGAGTGGGGGCGGAGCGGACCCAGCGCCCCGGCCCCCAGGATCGGGCCCTCGCGGCCGGGCTCAATGGTCGTGGCTCCGCCTCCCCCGCGGCCCCACTCTCCTTCCACGGACACCCAGCCAAGCCCGGCCATCTGGTCCGCCGTGTTCAGTCTCTCTTCTCTCCTTCCCCCCGGCGCAGCCCAGCATGTGACTGAAACATCCCTGAGAGAGACAGCAGGCGCTGGGCTGGGGGCAGAGGCCACGGGCACGCGGGCCCCTTCCGGGGACAGGGCATGGGGCGTGGGAGGCCAGACTGTGCCGCCCTGGAGTCAGGGCCGGTGCCGGGCAGAAACTTGGCGGCAGAGTGGGAAAGCGGCAGGGCGCTCCGGGTGGCGGCAGGGCCCGGGGCCACAGTGAGGGCAGCCAGGGCCTCCTGCGTCCTCCCCAGGGAGACTGATCTCACCACACCTTGCCGGCGGTCACTCAGGGTCACCTCCCCGGTGTCCTGAGCGGGGAGGACTCAGCGTCCACAAGTGGAGAGTAGGACGAAGGCTCCAGGGGACAGGGTGGGGGACCCCGGCCAGCCTGGCCTGGGGAAGCTGGGCGCGGGTGGCCCTGAGGGGTGACCGAGCCGCAGCGCAGTGGCCAGGGCAGGAGGAGAGAGCAGGTGTGCAGCCCTCTCACCGTCCCTCTGCCCCCCAGGCTGGTGTCCTCCGTCCAGGCCATCATGGCCTCCACCGCGGGCTACATCGTCTCCACCTCCTGCAAGCACATCATCGATGACCAGTAAGTCCGCCTGGGCGCTACCCGGGGCGCTCGGATCCTCAGGGAGCCGTAAGGCCCCAAGCCCTTGCCTGGGCCTGGGCGAGTTACTGAAATCACTGCAGCTCAACACCCGGATAAATTTATCCAGTCCTGCCTGACCCCAGAGGTCAGAACGGGGGGCCGGAGCGGGATCAGAGGACCCACGTGGCGGCTGAGCGTCACTGGCTCCCGACCTCCCTCGGAGCCCGGGGGTCCGGCTCGGCCCGGCCCCGAGCGCGAGCCCGGGGAGAGCAGAGGCGACGGCGCCAGCCGCTGCGGGTCACAGTGGGGGCGGGAGGAGGACAAGGCTGGGGTTTGGCGCGGCCGGTGCTGCAGAGCCTGGCGCGCGCCCAGCGGCCCAGGCCGAGCGGGTGAGGCGGACGGGCCCTGTCCGTGGTGCTGACCGCGCCCTGCGGCGCCCGTCGCTCCCAGCTCCGGCTCCGCTCCCCGCTCTGGTTGGTGTCCCTGGGCCCGGGCCCTTGTCCGCATGGCCCTGACCCCTCCTCTGTAGATTGGGGCGCAGGCCGACGCCTAGGGCAGCTCTCGGCTCGTTCTGGGCAGAGCGAACTCTAGACCTGGCCCTCGCCTGCTCCCATCCCGCCGCGTCCAGCGTCCGGGCTGGGGCTGCTCAGCTTCTCACCAGAGGTCACCTTGTGGCTCTCTCATGTCCTCCCCCTCCAGGTCTCTTCCTTCCCCTCTTCCCCCTTCCTTTAATCCTCAGGTAGGTGGAGAGGATCAGGGTTAATCCAAGGGCAACAGCTGTTCCCGCTCTGAGCACCTGAGCGCCCGGTGCCTGGGGCTGGGCTCACGGCACAGGGCAGCAGGGCAGCCTGCGCCCCACCCGCAGCCCAGTCTGCCTGCCAGCCCTTGGCTTATCCACCCTCAGGAGCGGCTGGGTCCCCTCCCTGTATTGCCCCCTTTGTCTGGGGCCAGCTGCCCCTCCCCATTCCCCAACCCACTGCCCCTCGGCTCAGGTTCTCGCCCCACCCTGCCCTGGGGCTCCTCACACGGGGCCTCAGCTCTTTCTCCGCAGTGGCCTCCAGCTGACTGTGGCTTCCCTCCCGCCTTTCCGACCTCCCACCCTCCTCAGACCAGGCTTCTCTCCTCTCAGATGCACAATTCCAGAGGAAGCGCCACTGTGCTGACTCAAGGAGAAAAACGCAATGCTGCACACTCACGCGATTCTCATCTGTGTTTACTCTCAAAGTACAGAGAGCTGTCTCTGTGCTCGGCACCTTTACTCAGCACTTTCTCCTTAATGCTCAGCTAGATGCGGAAAGACAGGAGCTTGGGCCACCACCAGGCAGACAGAGCAGCACCAGCAGGCCCATGGCAGATGCATCTAGAACCTTCCAGGGCCAGCGGGCCCCAGCCTGGGGCGGTGGCTGTGCCTTATTAGGTTATGGAGCCCCCCCCCATGACTGTGTGACTGTTTCCTCATCCGTACAATGGGGACAGAAACCTCAGCTCCTCTCCTGGGCCTTGTGTGAGGACTAAGTAAGTTTGTGCTGTGTGAAGGCTTAGATGCTAGGACGGTGCCTGCTCAGCACGTGAACAGTTGGTGTACAGCCACGGGGCCTCTTCCTGTCTTGCCCAGACTCGCGCCGCACTGGGCACTCCTGGCTGCATGGCTGCCCTTTGATCTGAAGGGGTCCTTGGAAGTGCAGTGGGCTCTGCAGTCTGCCTGCTTTGGATCCCAGCCCACCACTTCCCGTGTGGCAGCGTGGCCTTGGCCGGTTCTCACACTGTCTGTAACCTGAGAGTCGCTTCCTCTCAGGGCTGCTGTGAGCACCCCGAGGCTGGCCTGCTGGACTTGCCTCCCGCCTCCCACAGACTCCTTGAGTGTTTGCTTCCTGCCTAAGACTGCTCCCTTGGGGGCCCACCCTTCCTGTCTTCCTGACCCTTCTCTTTGTGCCCAACAGACACTGGCTGTCCTCTGCCTACACGCAGTTTGCAGTGCCCTACTTCATCTATGACATCTACGCCATGTTCCTCTGCCACTGGCACAAGCACCAGGTCAAAGGGCATGGAGGGCACAACAGGGGGCCCCGAGCGCTGGGCAGCACCTGGGCTGTGGTGCGCGGCTACCTGCACAAGGAGTTCCTCATGGTGCTCCACCATGCCGTCATGGTGCTGGTGTGCTTCCCGCTGTCCGTGGTGAGTCCTGGCCCCACAGGGCGGGTGGCTCTTACCCTGTGGCTGACCCTGCAGTTCTGTGGGGGCCGTAGAGGTGGCTCCCCACCCCTGCCCCTGCCCCTGTCCACTCTCAGGGCTAAACACCTCCGAAAGAGACCCACGGGGCGCCCTTCACCTTCTCTTCTGCTCGCAGGTGTGGCGACAGGGCAAGGGAGATTTCTTTCTAGGCTGCATGCTGATGGCAGAGGTCAGCACCCCCTTTGTCTGCCTGGGAAAGATCCTCATCCAGGTGAGAGGGCCAGGCAGGCCGGCCACTGGCTGGCGTGGAAGAAGCCCTAGGCTGGGGGGGCCATGGTTCTGGGGCCTTTGGCCTGCACAGCGGTGGCCAAGGGGCCCTGCAGCTGCTCTGTCCCCAGCCTGCACCTGCTCTGTCCACAGTACAAGCAGCAGCACACGCTGCTGCACAAGGTGAACGGGGCCCTGATGCTGCTCAGCTTCCTGTGCTGCCGGGTGCTGCTCTTCCCCTACCTGTATTGGGCCTATGGGCGCCACGCCGGCCTGCCCCTGCTCGCAGTGCCCCTCGCCATCCCGGCCCACGTCAACCTGGGTGCTGCGCTGCTCCTCGCCCCCCAGCTCTACTGGTTCTTCCTCATCTGCCGCGGGGCCTGCCGCCTCTTCCGGCCCCGAGGCTCCCGGCCGCCCTCTCCCTGTCAGACCCAGGACTGAGGAGGGGGCAGGGGCCATGCCACACCCTGGGCAGGGCTCTGGGGCGGCGGGTGGGGCTGGAAGCCCTGGGCCTTGCCTTAACAGCCCCGAGACTGACAGAGGACTCAGAAGGGCAGGGGCAGCTACCCTCAGGGATAGGGGGCAACCAGGTGACCAACTGGAAGACCGGAGGGGTCTCTTCTGGGACAGAGCCCAGGGCAGGGCTAGTGACCCTTCCCACCGGTGAGCCAGGAAAGAGGAAGGGGGCGTCCTTCCAGCCACCGCTGAGGCTGAGGGTCTGTGGGGAGAGGGGAACAAAGGACATGGGGGCCCTGCTGCTAAGGACACCCCAGCCCCCCTGCTGCAAGCCCTCTCTGCTCCCTGCCGTCTGGGAGGAGAGGACACCCTCACTCTCCTTGTGGGCCTCAGGGGCCCAGCTGCTCCCACAGCTCTTCTGTAGGGAATCTTATTTATTTTATTTATTCACCCAAATTCAAACGGATTTGCTGGGGGAGGGGGAGGGAGGTGGCTGCTCCCCCTTCGCGCCTCCGCAGTGCTGAGCATCCGGGGGCGGGTGAGGCTCACATCTCGCCCTCGGGCCCTGGCATGGCCCTGGTGCTACAGACCTCTCCAGGTTTCCTCCACTCAGGTCGGGGACCCTGGGAGGTGCTTCACAGACTGCTAATAAACATGACCTGCGTGAACGCCACCAAGGCCAGCTGGGTCCGTTCTTTGAGGCCACAAAGGGAAGAGGTGGGGGCCTGGTGCATGGGGAGCAGGACGACCCCTCCTGCTGCTCAGTGAGCAGTCAGGGAAGACAGAGTCGAAGTCGGGAACCTTTATTTATCAGTGGGAGAGAATGGCGACCTGGGCGCCCGGCCGCATCCATGACCCTCGTCCACTCTCTAGGCTCCTTGCCGGCAACTCCTGAGGGGCATGGAGACCAGACAGGAAGTCGCATACCAACCACTTCCTGAGAGGCAGGGCCCTCTGGACTCCCGAGAGAGGAAGAGGGTGGGCCGGGCACGGGGCAGGCCTCACACGTGGATGCAGAACTGGAAGAGGAGGTAGAAGAAGGCCACCACCAGGATGCCCACCAGGATGTGATGGAAGAGCCCAGGACCGGAGCCTGCGGGACAGGAAGGTCAAGGCCAGTCTGGCCAGGGAGGAAGGAGGCTTTCCCTCAGCTGCTCCTACCTGAGTGGACAAACTGCACGGGTCTCTCTCCGATAAACTGGGCCACTGCCTGCAGGCTGGCCTGGTCTGAGTCTGGGTAATCGAAGAAGTCAGGTCTCTCTACGAAGCGTGGGGGCGCTACTGGTGGGGCCAGAGCCTTGGTGCGCGCCGGCCTGAGCACTGGGACCCAAGGCAGAGGTGTGACAGCGGCCACGCTGGCTCCCCCAGCCCCACCCGACAGGGCGACGGGCAGAGGCCCGCTGGAGACCCCAGGGTCAGCCCCGCACCCCAGGGAGGCCCAGGCTGGCTGGGATGCGGAGGATGGGGAGGGAAAACAAGGCCCAGGGCGGGCTCCCCTGACGGCAGTGTCCTGACCCCGCCTCCCTTCTTCCCGCTGCTCCGGAGTCGGCTTCCCACCGGCGCCTCCCGCCTGCAGCGCAGCCAGCCACACCCACATGGGCAGCCAGGGCCCCAGCCTCATGCGCCTCGGCCCCTCGTCCCCCTCGTCCCGCTCGGGCTGGCTCTCTGTGATGTCACACCGGAGCCGTTCTAAGGGAGCAGCGAGGGTGGGAGGAGGAAGTGCGGGGAGTGGGCTCTTCCCTGGAGCGGCGGGGAGAGGCTGGGCCCGCAGGGCCTTGTCCTTCAAGGAGCAGAGGAGGTGGGGGGGGCTCAGGGTCCGAGGTGACCCCTCCCCCGCACCATAAACAAACAGACAAACAAACAGCGGTGGCTCGAGAATTTATACACGGAAGGGACTTGGGGCGCTCTTGCTGAAGGCAAGCTGGACCTGTGGAAGGTGCGTTTGCGTGGCAGGCACATTTGGCCTGGGAGTAGGGGACCAGGGTCACGCACCTCTACTGTCCCTGGGTTGCACTGAGCTTCTTAACACGGTGAGCGCTGTGCGCGCAGTACCTCCATTAACGCCGGGGCCTCACGAGGCTGGCTCTGCCCAGAGGGCAAGGGATGTGGGCAACAACTTTCCACCCGAGGCGTGGCTCCACGGGGCTCCCTCTCGGTCGCGTCCCCAGTCCAGCCGCACAGGAGTCTCCGCGTCCTGGGCCTGCGCGCGCGGGCCTGGCCGAGGAGTGGCGGGCTTTCCCCGCCAGGGGGCGGCAGCGCGCAGGCCTCGCGCCCTCGCCGCCTCCGCCAGGGGCAGGTGGCGTCTGCGGCAGCAGAGGGGGCTCCAGTCCGGGCAGGGTGCGGGGGCCGTAGTCAGAGGATTCCCCGGCCGGCCCGAGGGAAGTCCCTGCCCTCCGCAGAGCCCCGCAGGCCGCGCTCACCGGGCGATGCCCCCTAGCCCTGGCCCTTCCCGCGGCTGCCTCACCCCTGCCCCTGCGGCGGGGAAGCTGGCTCCCCTCTGATTGGCAGGTAGGCCTATCTGTCACAGCTGTGTCCGGCCCACCCGGCCAAGGACGCTCAGGGTCGCCAAGGCCGGCGGGTGGGGGCTTCTGGCCCTCTCTGTCCCCTGCTGGGGACCCTGAAGCTCTAGCCGTGCTTCCTCTGCCCCGCGACGCCGAGAGGCCATTGCTGTGATCAGCTTCAATTTCCTAACTAGAAAAAACCCCAAGACGGAAAAATGAGGGAAGCCGCAGGCGCGGCGGGGAGGCTCGGGGCTGGCTTCTCCCAGACACCCCGGTTCCCACCCCGGGAGCCTGGGCCTCCGCCATTGCCCAAAGAACCCAGCTGCTCTGTCCACACAGCCCTCTCCATTCAGGCAGCGGGTCACCCTTCACCCTCTCGTCCACCTCCAAACGAAGGCTGAGCTCCTGCAGCGTGCGGGGCTGCTCCCGGGCCACCCGGGAGGCCCACTGGACACACGCTGTTCTAGTGTGGGCAGACACCTGTGCTCCCCCACCACCATGTTCTGTTTGTTTTTGTTTTGTTGTGGTTGGTTTTTGTTGTTTTGAGACAGGGTCTCAATATGTAGTTCAGGCTGGCCTTGAACTCACAGCAATCCTCCTGCCTCAGCCTCCCGAGCACTGGGACTACAGGTGTGTGCTACCACTCCCGCTGACCTTTAATGTATTTTTCAGCCTCTTTTGGTACAGTCTTGTCCCCGCCACTCCACCAACACTACTTTGTTCAAGTCCACCAGTGACCTCTTTATTTGGCAAATTGAATGTGACATCTTTTTCCACTCTGTCTTGGCAGGGCACCCATCTCTGGTCCCAGCCCAGGAGCCCTCCTTCCCAGTTTTCTGGGTCCTCCTCTTGCCAGCTCAGCCTTGGGTCCTCTCTTTTCTATGTATATTCGCTCTCCCTAGGTGATCTCATCCAGTTTCATGGCTTTAAATACCATCCATATACTGGTGACTCACAAATGTATATTTCCAGCCTAGACCCCTCCTTGGAGCTCCAGGCTCCAATACCCAGCTTCCTGCTTGATGTCTCTGTGTCCAAAAACATCTCAAGTGCATCAGATCATAGCTGAGGCTCGTGAATCCAGTCCAAGCCTCTCCATCGCTCGTCGTTTCATCTCCACACAGGGTCCTCCAATCCTCTACATGCACTGATCAACACAAGTTTGGGGACGGCCTGACCCCTGGCTGTCTCTTATCAGACAAGCCCGCAGTGAAAACCTGTGGTTTGATTTCCAGCAGAAATCTCCAATATGTCTACCTCCTTCCCCCTCGGCTTCCTCCCCTCCAAGCCACTGCCAAGTTTCCCTGGCTTACTGCAACAGCCTTTGGACCAGTTCACCCAGGTTTATTCTTACCCGCCAAGATCTGCTCTCCATCCACCAGCAGAACCAACTGAAACACGAGGAGCCACTATTCCAGCACTCCAGCGGTTCTCCCTCAGTCCAAGTGTGATTCTGAACTTCTCTCCTGCACTGCAGGCCCCTGCCTCCTTGTCCACTCAGACCCCTCTCGCTGCCCCTCCTCAGCATTCTCCAGCCGAAGAGCCTTCGGCCTGTTCTGCAAGCATTCTCAGTTCTTGATGCCTCCCGGGCTGTGCAGACCTCACCTCCAACCCCGAAGGGTGAGTGCAGACCACTCTTCCACTGCTTCAGTCTGCTGGCTGGAATTGCCTGAGTATTGTCCACGTCCCCTGCAAGGCTGCAGAGCGAGAGATCACCGCAATGTGCATGCTACCTAAGAAATCCATGCTGGGCCAGGATTTAGCTCAGTGGTTTCGCTGCCTGCTTCGCAATTGCAAGGACTCGAGTTCAATCCCCCGTACCAAAAAAAAAAAAGAAATCCATGCTGAACGACAGGGCAGATGCACAGGGATGAGACATCTTCCAGCTCTCAGCGAACCAGGCCCAAACTGCGCACCATGAGAAGATACTCCGAGGAGCCAGGTTGCTCAGCCGCTCCCTTGGTCTTATCCCTTTGTTTTAAAAATGTATTTCTCTGGGTATATCTTAGCAGAAGAGCCTGTGCCTAGCACGGGCGCGGCCTTGGGCTTGACCCCCGACACACACAAACACATACGGAAAAGGACATGCATAGAACTTTAGTGCATATATACGTATTTTAATGTGTTCTTTAGCATAGGGAGCATAGGTTCACAGCATACAATTTAAAAGGCACAAAAGAATGTATATTGAGAACTCTTTCGGATTCCTGCTCTTTCCTGCCCCACAGCAACCCCCTCAGAGGCACCATAGTTACAATTTATTTTCTTGTAAGCCTTCTGGAAATAATTTATGCACAAATAAATACATAAAAGCTCTTGCCCTCCTGGCTCAAATGGCAGCATTCCACACATCCTGCTCTGCACCTTCGTTCTTTAAGTTAAAAGGAGATTGTGAAGCTGATAATCTACATGTGCATCAAGAGCCCCCTTTCTTTTTTGTGGCTTCGTACTATTTCATCATAGGAAGTCATGTCATGACTGATTTAATACCCTCACACATGGATGTTTCAGTTGTTCCCATCTTTTGGTGCATGGTGCAATGAAGAATCTTGAATTTAGCAGGACACTTTGGTGCTTGCCTGTAATCCCAGCATTGGGAGGAAGACTGAGGCAGGAGGATGGAGCTCAAGGCTGGCCTGGGCTGTGTAGTGAGACCCTGTCTCAAAAAATATGATTAAACACAAACAAAATTTACACAATTTTTTGTGCACGTGCTACAGATGGAACCCATGGAGGTGTGCATGCTAAGCACTGGCTCTACTACTGAGGCACTCCCAGCCTCGGCCGTTTACACACTGACAGTGCTGAGCCTGTCTGCATTGTGGCAGCCTCTGTTAGGCCCCAGCATTAGTGAGGATAAGCTAGTGGCAGGCCCAGTTGGGGCCCTCGGGGGACTCAATGAATCACCCCTCTGGCTGCTGCAGCTCCTGGATTATAGACATGGAAACAGGGAGGGCACACAGAGCAGCAGAGGTGAGTCTGAGGTGCTCCAGGAAGACCCTAGGAACGGGCCAGGATGCAGAGGGCACCGGCAGGCGACTCCCGGCTGCCAAGGTGCAACCTGGCGGCCGGCAGAGGTGGAGGGCTAGGGGCTGCTCTGCAGGCGGGAAGGCCTGGTGAGGACCTGGTCTCTCCCTTGCTCAGTCTGGGTCGGAGGAGGGGGATCAAAGGCCCGGGCAGGCATGGGGCGGGGGGTGGGGGGATGGGGGGTGTCAGGTCCAGGCTGCTGGGCATTCAAGGCCAAGCTGGACACCCGCCCTGCCAAGGACTGGAACCAGAGAGGGCAGGGGTTGGGGGTAGGGGTGGATCCCCAAGGAGATGCCACCCCTGACATGGGGACACTGGCCTTGGGGGCTGGGTAGCATTGGAGGAGAGGCCTCACAACCGAAGGGAGGAGGCGGGAGGGAACCTCAGCCCCGGGTCTCCCCAGCAGTGACCCGAGATCCCAGGCCAGACTGTGGGGAATCCACACACCCCTCACCACCCCCCGGCGGTCGGGTCACTGCGGCTCTCCGAGCCCCGCCCCACGGCCACCGGGGACCGGGCCTCGCCTTTGTCGCATGCTCCGCGGGGGAGGGGAGTGAAGGGAGAAATGAGCCAGGGTTGCCATAGCAACTAGGCCGGTGGTCGCCCGGAGACCCGAGGGAGAACTGCCGGGTTCCGGGCCGCGGCTTCGGCTTCTTGGGGGCTCTGGGAGCCCGCGTGCCGGGCGTGTGTGCGCGAAGTTCTCGGGTGCGTGTGCGCTCGTGTCTGCGTGTGTGTATCATGCGTGTGAGCTTGCACACGTGTGCGCAGGAAGTGCCAGGGCGAGACGTGTGTGCCAGCCCGCGCGCCTGAGCGTGCGTCCTCGCGTGCGCTCCTGAGGGTGCCCGGCGCGCGTGGCGAGTGTGAGCCTGGAGCCGCCCCGCCCAGCTTCGCCTCCGCCCGCGGCCTGCGCTCTCCCGGCTCCCCAGCTCAGACTCCGCGCGCTCCCTCGTCCGGAGCCGCTGCCCGAGCCGCACCTGTTGGAGGCGCAGAGACAGGTGCGGGGCGCGGAGGCCGCCCCTGAGCGGAGAGCAGGAGCCGAGGGCGGGGCCGGGCCGAGCCGGCTTCTGCACCCCGCTCCCCAGCCCGCGTGCTGCATGAGGGGCCGCCGGGGCGACCGCCTGGCCGTAAGCATCCAGGAGCACATGGCCATCAACGTGTGCCCCGGGCCCATCCGGCCCATCCGCCAGATCTCCGACTACTTCCCGCGCCCCGGCCCGGGGGACTGTGGGGAGGCCCCGGCCCGTCTGGCCCCCCTGGCCCTGGCGCCCCCTGCGGGCCTCCTTGGGGCCACCGCCCCCGAGGACGGGGCCGAGGTGGACAGCAACGACTCGGACGACACCAGTGAGTGTGGGGGCCTCAGGTTGCGACCCTGCCGGGCGTGCGCGAAGGAGCGGAGGGGCGGGAGGCCGCCCAGCTGCAGCCGGGCCGAGATTGCAGCTTCTGCCAGGCTCAATCTTCAGCATTTCTGCTGAGACACCGCCACCCACACAGACCCAGTGCGGGAGCCGGCCGGACGGGCACACGCACACGCACTTGTGGGCCACCGGGGATGTGGACGGGGAGGGGCAACAGGGCCTGGCCTCCAGCGTGACACACCCACGTGCCCTCCGCAGCTGCCCTGGGGATGTTGGAGTTCGACCTTCTCTATGACCGGGCCTCCTGCACTCTGCACTGCAGCATCCTCAGGGCCAAGGTGGGTACCCTCCTTCCTTCCTCCCGGCAGCCCCCGCCCAGCCTTGCCCCCTGGCTGCACCCCACCCAGGACCCAGTCTGCGGGGGCCCAGAGCCCACCGCTTCTTCCCGCCCCCGCAGGGCCTCAGGCCTATGGACTTCAATGGCCTCGCCGACCCCTACGTCAAGCTGCACCTGCTGCCAGGAGCCTGCAAGGTAAGGACCCTCCCAGCTCCTCCCCAGAGCCCCTCCAGAATGTCCAGGGGACATGTGCCAGAACCCGTCCCACACCCAGGCCAACAAGCTGAAAACCAGGACTCAGAGGAACACGCTGAACCCGGTGTGGAATGAGGACCTGACTTACAGTGGGATCACAGACGACGACATCACCCACAAGGTGCTCAGGTGAGTGCCCTGCTGCCGACCATGCAGCCCGGAGCCCTCTGCAGGACTGAGAAACCATGGCCTTCCTTGGTTCCCTGACCTCCCTATGTGCCACTAAGCCCCTGCCTCGCTCCCAAACCCAAACACTCCCAGGCAGTGTTGCAGGGCCCTTTCCCTCAGCTCCACAACTCCTGACCTTTGCCTGGCTCTTCTACCTGGAGAGACCTTCGGCTTCTGCCCAGCCCAGCCCAGCCCAGCCGCCCAGATCCCACTCACCCGCCTGAGGAACAGTGCGAGTCCGCCTCCTCCAGGAAGCCTGCCGGCCACGGGACAGCCCTTGAGTCCTGACTACAGACAGCCCTATGCATCTGAGGTCCACCTGTCTGTCCTCAGGTCCCCTAAAACCCAAGCGAAGTTTTCAGGGCCAGGGAGCGTGCTGTCACCCCAGGAGATGGAGGCGTGGGGACAGCACCTCAGGCAGCTGGGCACAAACCTCACTCAGGAGCCTTGTTCTTAGTGATAGGGAGGTCAGCAGGGCTGCCCCGAAGAGGCGAGTCAGGGCCTGGTGCAGCAGCCCCCGTGTGGGGGAAGGCTGGGCCCTGTTCAGAGGTAAGAGCATGAGGCCCAAGGGCAGGAACTGAGCCTTACTAGTGAGCATTTCCTGTGTCTTCGCTTCACTTGCCCTCACGATGCTTTAGGAGGTGAGCACTGCAGATGAGAACGAGGCAGGCTGAGTGACTTGCCGGGGCCACATGGTGCCTAGAACGTGGCAGGGCTGGGATTTCGGCCCCACATGCATAGCTGCTCAACAGTCGCTGGCCAGGGCTGCAGGGGGCAAGTGGAAGTAAAGGCAGCCCTTTCACTCTGGACCTGCCTGGACCACGTGTCTCCTGTGGCTGCCTGTGCCCAGCAGGCCCACACTGGTGACCCTCCTGGCTCTTACGGCCTACATCTGGGGACCCAGACGGGCTCCCGAGGGCTTCCTGCAGCAGCAAGAGGAGGTGGAGAGTGAGGGCAGAGAGGGGACTGGCCCGGGGACCTTCCTCCAGCTGGAGGGGCTGAGGTGCCCAGAACCCTGACCGGAAGTGCCCCCCAGGATCTCCGTCTGTGATGAGGACAAGCTGAGCCACAATGAGTTCATCGGGGAGATCCGAGTGCCCCTCCGCCGCCTCAAGCCTTCACAGAAGAAGCATTTTAACATCTGCCTCGAGCGCCAGGTCCCGGTCCGTAGGAGCTGTGGGGATGCCCGTGGGGAGGCTGGGGGCCAGGCTGTCAGCATGTCTTCTCTGTCTCCTCAGCTGGCATCCCCCTCGTCCATGTCCGCAGCGCTGAGGGGCATCTCCTGCTACCTGAAGGAGGTGAGGTGGCTCACAGGGGTCGCAGCCTGCCAGGAGGCAGGGCTGGGCCAGGCTGACCCGTGTCTTCCTGCAGCTGGAACAGGCTGAGCAGGGACCTGGGCTCCTGGAAGAGCGTGGGCGCATCCTGCTGAGCCTCAGCTACAGCTCTCAGCGCCGGGGGCTGCTGGTGGGCATCATTCGCTGTGCCCACCTGGCTGCTATGGATGTCAACGGCTATTCTGACCCTTATGTGAAGACGTAAGCTCTGGCCCGTCTGTCCAAATCTCTCTGGGGCCTGGCCCACCCTAACTGCATGGCTCCCTCTGCCCAGGTACCTGAGACCAGACGTGGACAAGAAATCCAAGCATAAGACATGTGTGAAGAAGAAGACTCTGAACCCAGAATTTAATGAGGTGAGTGGGGAAGGGACTGGGAATCGAGGTGAGCTGGGGACAGCAGGGGCTGGAGAGGCCTCACGCTGGGGATGGCTCCTCTCGCCCAGGAATTCTTCTACGAGATACAGCTCTCCACTCTGGCCACCAAGACTCTGGAGGTCACGGTCTGGGACTATGACATTGGCAAATCCAACGACTTCATAGGTGAGGGCCTTCATAGGTGAGGGCCGGGCCTGAGGGGGGGGCCGGGCCTGAGGGCGGGGGTGGTGGGCAGCGCTCACTCCCTCCTCTCCAGGGGGTGTGTCCCTGGGCCCGGGGGCCCGCGGGGAGGCTCGGAGACACTGGAGTGCCTGTCTGCAGCAGCCGGACGCCCCCCTGGAGCGCTGGCACACCCTGACCAGTGAGCTGCCCGCCGCGGCCACAGCACTCCCCTCAGCCTGAGCGGCAGCAGCTGCCATACAGGCCTCGCACGAATGTGCTGCACGTTTACACAGGGTGGATGCCTGGCCCGCCCGCCCCGCCTGTCTCATTGAGTCTCGTGGCCTGACCGTGACCCTCGGTCCACACTCATATGCAAACTCCTCCCTCACTCTCACCAAGCATGCAAACCACCCACCGCACACCCTGGGGAGTGCTGTCCCCAGCCCTCTCCGAGCTGCCCGGCCCCTCGACACAGGAGGAGGTCGGATTAGGGGAGGTTTGGAGGAGAATGTTTCCAAAGGACAGACAAGAGGCGCTGCTGCAACACGGACCTTCATTACAGTCCCAGCCCGACAGCCACCCTTCCCAGGCACGCCCAGCGAGGCAGGTGCTCCTGGCCACTCACTTAAATAATGTCCTGGGGCCCTGCCACCTGCTGGGGACACTTGTGCATGTTTACGCCTTTTCTGATTGTGTCAGTGGCCAAAGCATGGCAACTGTGCATCAATAAACATGGAGGACGCTGGGCTGGCATGCAGTCACTCCGGGATGTCGATCACCAGGTCGTCGTCCCCGTCCAGGGCGTCGTCCCCACTGCCTGCGTCACTGAACATCTGCCGAGGGACGGTGCTCAGGATCGTGTGGGGGGGCATCTTGGGAGGGGGTAGCGGGGTCAGGGCCGCCCCGACCCCAGCCCCAGGACCCTGGGCAGGGAAGGCCAGCAGCCCGCCCACGGGGCAGTCCGGGGGTCCAACCGCCATCTGCAGCAGGGAAGAAATACAGGGGACTGGTCAGTGGCTCTGGCCTCCGGGAGGGCGGGGCGGGGTGTGACGGAAAGGGAAGGAAAGGCCGCATGCTGCCCGCCAGAGGCGCCCATCGTCCTGGAGCCAGTGTGCAGCCTCTCCACCGGCAGCACCCTCCTCTCCTGCACAACCCCCTGGCTCGAAGAAGGTGTCACAGGCTGCCTGAGCCTCAAGCCTGGGCGACTTCTTTGGCCCCCAGAAGCTGTAATACCTCTCGGACAGCCCCTCCTGGGATCCCCATGGCACAGCCTCCCCAGGGCCAGCTCCTCCACACTGCAGCCAGGGGAGCGCTCCAGAACAGACCCCAGCTCAGGGCCGGGCAGGGTGCAAGTGGCTGACCACAGGCCCGCCCTCCACCAGCAGTGTCTCCTCAGCAAAAGCCCGGCTTGTCCTGGGGGCGGGGCCTCCAGTCTCCCAACCTCCAGCCTCCCCTGGCAGGCCCCCACAGTCCTCGCCACAGATCGCTCTCTGGCTGTCAGCAACAACCTGTGTTCTCTGGGGGCACAAACGGAGGTGTAGGGAGGCGGCCCGTGGGTCCCCAGGGGCAGGTCCTGCCTGTTCCAGCCTCGCCAGCCCTGCTCGCCCCTGGGTGGTGGTAGTCAGAGCGGGTCAGGCAGCAGGGCTCGAGGCCGGCAGCCCAGAGGTCAGCAGGAGCCTTGCCCTGAGCAGCCCTGCGGCAGGCCCCACGTGTATGCACACGAGGAGACACATGCGTGACCAAAAGGACAGCTCTACGTGCACTGTCGCCTCCCCAGCTACCACTGCAGGGTCCCCACCCTGTCCCCGATGCCCTCCCCTGCCTGGACCTCTTCATTATGACCATGGGCAGCTAATGTGCGTCTGTGGCTTGCTGGGGCCCAGGTGCTGGGCTCAGTGTCCCCTGTCCCTAACTCCTTTCAGCTTCATGTGACTGCCTGAAGAGAGCGAGGCTCACAGATAAGTGACATGCCCACGATGCATGAGTACATGGAAGAGCTGACTAAAGCCCCGGCTGGTTTTCTTTATCTGGGACAGGGGATTTTTGCTATGTTGCCCAGGCCAGCCTTGAACTCCTAGACTCAGGTGACCTCCTGCCTCAGCCTTTTGAGCAGCTGGGACTATATTCGTGCTCTGAGTGACTGTGTCAGCCTCAATGCTCACGGTCACTGTCTCTCATCTGTTTCTCACCCGAGCCTTGAGGGACTCCACTCCCTCGGCAATGGACAGCCCAAGATCTGGGAGTCCTAGCAGCCTTCTCTTCCCAACTCCTGCTGCATCCCTCATGTTTTTGCTCTGTGCACAGCAACTGACATGAGCCCCTCCTGGCCAACACTGTCTCCAGGGTTTCCTGAGCCTCAGTGCCTGGCACCCTCCACAGCAGGGCAGGCTGCAGCCTGAAAACCTGCCCACCCCTGACACTTGCCTGTTTGCTCGGGGCTGCCCTGACCCTTATCTTCCCACTGCCTGCCAGAGGAGCCAAAGCCAAACCTTTCGGTAGGGGCCAGTATTTTGTGTGCAGGCATGTGCTGCTAAGAATGCACCCAGGCCCTATGCGTGGTAGGCAGGTGCTCTGCCACTGAGCTCTGCACACCCAGCCCCAGAACCCACACTCTGAGCCACTAGAAACACAGCATCTGGTTTGATTCTGCTTCAGGACCCAGACGGCGGGCTAGGGACCAGCCTGGCCCCTGCTCAGCTCTGACTGCACACCAGACGCACTGTGCCTTTCTGTATCTTCAGCTGCTGCTCAGTACTCCTGGGGCCCCGTGCTCTACCCTCTTTGTGGACTCCCAAGGACACATCATCATGAACTCAGCTCCCAAATGCAGCTCTCGACATGTCCAAGGCCAAACTTCTGCACTTCCCTCCAGAAGCTGCTCCTCCCAGTCCCCCGTCTCAGAGGAAGACCACTCCATGTGTCCCCAGGAGGACTGGGGCTCCTGGACACTGCTCCCTCTCTCACCACAGCCACACCTGGGCTTCCAGAAAACTTCTGGCCCCTTCTTTAAAACGGACCCCTGGTCCACTCTGCACCCTCCACAGCCACTGGGTTTCTTCAGTCACAGCCTCACTGCCATCTAACTCATTCCCAGCCCCTGCACCCAGCAACACCTCTAGAGCAGTGGTGGCAACATGACTAAGATGTCAACTGGACCGGATCTGCCACCCTTCCTCCACTAGTTCCCACCTCACAGGACAAGGCAGTCCTTCAGCACCTCCAGGACCCACTTTCCCTTCCCCCGATCCTTGCACAGCCTGGCACTCGTGCCCCCAGGCCTTTGTCCAGCTGTCCCTGACAAACTCTTTCCTTGGGCCTGCCTGGGGATTTAGCTCAGTGGTTCCAGCGCCTGCCTTGCAAGCACAAGGTCCTGAGTTCAATCCCTGGTACCAAACAAAACAAAACAAAACAAAACAAAACAAAACAAGGCCCGGGGATTTAGCTCAGTGGTTCTGGCGCCTGCCTTGCAAGCACAAGGTCCCGAGTTCAATCTCCGGCACAAGAAAACAAAAACAAAAAAATACAAAACAAAACTCTTTCCCAAAGAGCGGATGGCTGGCTCTCATTTCCCCTAAGTCTCTGATCAAGCAACACCCCAGCCCACTCCACCACAAATGGCCCCACCACCTTCGGCCCCACCATTTTCTTGACTGTTTTCTAGACTAGGACTTAATTATCTGATCTATCTCCTCCCCAGCTTGCAAGAAGTGAGCACGAGGGGTTATGTCTGCTTTGTCCATGTTCTTAAGTGCAACACCTGAGACAGAGCCTGGTGTGCAGCAGGTGTTCCAGGAATGCTTGCTGATCCCACCTCGTCTGATCACTACTTTACACACCGCAATTTTGAGCTTCAGAGGGTCAAAGAGACCTGCTGGAAGTCATGTGTGGTTTTTTTTTTGTGGTATGGGGATCGCATTCAGGACCTTGTGCTTGCGAGTCCAGCAACAGCACCACTGAGCTACATCCCCGGCCCAGTTGTTTTTAACTGGGAAGCCTAGACTGGATTCCAGACCCCAAACTCTGTTTCCCCGGGTGCTCTCGGCCAGTGGGAATGCTGCCTTGCCAGGGTGGGACCCTGGTGCCCTCAGTCTCAGTGCTCCCAGCCAGCTCTGGCAGACCTGTCTCACAGTGAGACTGAGCCAGGCCTTCTCTCATCTGCTCCTCAGTGCTGGCCACAGGCTGGACCCCAGTAGTCGCAGACAGGCCTTTCCAAGTCCTTGACGGCCCCCGTCCCGATGGCCCCCAGCCCGCACTGAGCCTCCCCGATGGCTGTGTGCCTCACAGCCCCTCCCTGTCGCCCCCCAATCAGGGTACCTTGAGCTTCCGGGGCAGGCGGGGCCGTTTCTCCCGCTTGGGCCTCAGGGGGCTGGGCTCGGGCAGCTGCAGGGCCAGGTGGTCAGAGGGGAGTGGGGGGTAAGGCGGGGAGGCCAGCTGCTGGCAGGGGCGGGGCAGGGCCAAGGGGAGAAACAGGAAGAGCGGGAAACAAGAGACTGTGAGGAGTGTGGCCCGGCTCCTGGAGACAGGGGCAGTGGCAGGACTGCTCTCCTGTCAGGCGTGCCCTGTTCCTGCACCTGAGAGGGCAGCCTGGGCTCACACTCTCCAAGGGACACAGCTGGCCACAACAGGACAGAGGTCCCGAGTGGGCTGGCCTCACCCCATGCTTAGCCCTCTGCCTGTGTGACACCCACCTCACTCCCAGGCTTTAGGCACTGCTCTCGCCAATCCCAACTCACCGAGCTCAGGTACGGGGACGGCGTCCCAGAAGCCTGGAGGGGAAACCCCGATGAGGGCGGCAGGGGCAGGCCGGAGGGGGAGGGCGCACTGGCCAGCGGAGGGCTCCTCTTCCTGGAGAGAGGATGGGAGGCCTCAGAGGCCGCCGGAGGCCCACGCTGGCCTTGGGAAGGCTGGCCCCTCCTTACCTCTTAGGGGCTGGCGTGTCCGACAGCTTGGGCATCCCCTCGGCCTCACTGTTCTCTGATGACGCTGTGGCATCCGAGTCTGTGGGGGACGGCTCATCAGTGGGACTGTGCCCAGCGTGCCCCAGAGGGGGGCCCACAGCACGCCCAGTCAGTGTCCTGCTCTGGCTCCTCCCTCACAGGTCTGTCAAGCACATGCTGTGTGCCAGCCCCCTTTGCAGCACCCCCTCTGCTGGCCTTCATGGCCCTCCAAGGAAGGAAGACAGGACGGGTATCACTTCCACTTTCTAAATGAGGCCAGGGGCTCAGGGAGCAAGCAGGGGCCTGGGGCTTGAACTTGGCTGTCATTCCTTGACTACTCTATGCCACTCTCTTCTTGTTTGCCTCTAAGCTGCCTTCAACTCCTGCCTCTGCTTCCCCTACTCAGGGTCCTTTTAATCTACCCCTCAAATCGCTCCATTTCTTCTTTCATCATATATTATAAATAAATAATACTTTTTTTGTTTTTTTTGGAGACAAGGTCTCACTATGTCATCTGGGCTGGCCTCGAACTCACACTGACCCTCCTGCCTCAGCCTCCTGAGTGCTGGGATTACAGGCATGCCCACCACATCCAGTATATAATTAAAAGAATTTTTAAAGATCTTTCTGTCATCCATTCCTGCCACCCTAACTGCCACAGACTAGACCACTGCCCTGTACAATCCCTGCTCAGCAGGCTCCAGTCTGCCACCAACTGTCCACGCCGACTACAGCACGACCTAACATAGAGACCTAAGCACACCCTCTCTGTGACATTTTCCATGGCCTGCAGGCATCAGCAGTGCTAGAAACAGAACCTGCAGCCTTCCACTGAGCCACATCCTCAGTCCCTTTTTCATTTTTGAGGTTAGAGTCTGACTAAACTGTCCAGACTGGTCTCAAATTTGTGATCTTCCTGTCTCAGCCTCCTAAATAGCTAGGATTACAGACATGAGTCTCTAGGCCCAGCAGTGGTGCTTTTTGTTCTGGGTTCAACCTACCTTTCCAGTTGCAAACAAAACTGTTTTCTGATATGTCTTTTTGAAGCACTGGAGATTGAACCCAGGGCCTTGCACATGGTAAACATGGGCTCTACCACTGAGATATACCTCTAGGCCCCTAAACTGTACTCTTTACATCATGCCAACCTCTTTCCTCAAAAAGAAATTTCCTAGTCTAGTGCTTTTGTCAGAAAGCCTATAATTCATTGAACAACTGCTACATGACACATGGTTCCCAATTTCTCTGCTCGGATGGATCCTTTACAAGGCAGATCAAGGCCCGGGGATTTAACTCAGTGGTTCCACTGCCTGCCTTGCAAGCGTAAGAACAAGAGTTCGATCCCTGGTACCAAAAAAAAAAAAAAAGGCAGATTGAATGCTACCTCCTCTGAGAAGCCTTCTGGAATCCCGCCGCCCTGTTAAATGCTGGTTCTCCTCCTCCTCTCATGCTCAGGCTCTCCTTACACTGTGCTGGGAAGCATCATGTGGACCCCGCAGGGCCTGAGTGGAGGCCTACATCTCTTGGCTCATGCTCCTCAGATTTAGTCCAGTCTGACCATGAATGTGCTGGGTCCCCTCAGGGCTCCTGTCCTGAAGTTCCCCTCAAACAGGAAGTTAACTCAAAGAACATAGGGAACCGAGAAGCAGAAAAAAGGGGACAGAATAAAGCCACTTTCTGCCATGGCCTATATGAATAGCACCTACTTTCTCTAACCTTGTAACAGTCGTTCCTCGAGCCTAACTCCTGTAACAGTGAATAATAAGTTGTAAGGTGCAATGAAACATTATCTACAGAAACAAGCAGCCCAGCTACCTGCTGTATGCTGATCCATCCCCTAGATCAACGCTTAAAGGCACATTTAATCTGATGATCTTATAAGGGCCCTATTCGGGAGGAGGCCCATAAATGTCCACCACAGGGCTTTTCAAACTGTGGAGCTCAAATCATTAGTGATCTCAAAATCAATTTTGTTTACTACTGGCATTAAAAGAGAGGACAAAGCTGGGTGTGGGGGAATATACCTGTACTCTCAGCACTTGAGGAGGCTGAGGCAAGAGGACTCCAAGTTGGGAGCCCAGCCTGGGCAATTTAGTAAGACTTTGTCACAAAATAAAAAATAAAAAAAGGGCTAGGGATGTAGCCCCCAGATCCAATGTGAAGGCCCTGGACTCAAACCCCAGTATCAAAAAAAAAAATTAAAAAAAAATTTAAAAAGCTGGACATGGTAGCACACACATGTAGGAGGATCACTATGAGTTTGAAGCCAGCCTGGGCTACATATTGAGACCCCGTCTCCAAGGAAGAAAGAAAGAAAGAAAACTGAAGGGGGAAACAGTCTCAAAAAAAATCAGAATAAGTTGCCTTTAGAAATCTTAAAAATGTTTCATAAATTTTTTTATAAGTATGAATATGGGCCTTGGTCATGATGTAAAAGATAGTTAATTGTAATCAATAATAAAGTTTGAAAAACAGCATTTTATATCCTTATCCCTTTATTAACTCAAACCAGCCTAGCTCTTTCTTATCTCAGGGAGCCTGCATTCATTATCCTGCCAAGAAAGTCCTAGCTTGGCCTTCACTAGATTGGGTTCTTCTTTTTTATTTTGGTACCGGAGATCGAACTCAGGACCTTGCATTTACAAGGCAGGTGGCAGAACCACTGAGCTACATCCCCGGCCCCTGGCTTCTTCTTGTTAGCTCCCCACTCATATATTTCCCAAAAAGGCCTTTCCTATGGGCACTCTAGTCAGATAGTACCTACAGCCTGCTTTTGTGTGGTGTGCAAGCTAGGAATGGCTCTGACACTTAAAAAAATGTTTATTTTTGTGGTACTAGGGGTTGAACCCAGGGCCTTCAGCCCTCACACTGACCAGCCCATTTTAAATTTTTTTTTTTTTTTTTAAGACTAGATGTTGTGCTAAATTGTCCAGACTGGGTTTGAACTTTGAATCCTCCTGCCTTAGCTCCCAAAAGTGCTAAGATTATAAGAATATGCCACTATGCCCAACTTTTGATCTTTAAAAATGTAAAGGCTGGGCATGGTGTCATATGCCTGTCATCCCAACACTTGGGAGGCTGAGGTGGGAGGATCACTGTAAGTTTGAGGGCAGTCTGAGCTACATAGTTCCTGAACTACACAGCAACACCCTGTACAACTGTGACCCCAGTACTCTGAGACAGTAAGGCAGGAGGATCAAAAGTTCGAGTCCAGCCTGGGCAATTTAGCAAGACCTTGTCTCAAATGGGAGTGGCAAGGGTGTGTGTGCATGTGTGTGTGTCAGCAGCTGGAAATGTTAGCTACTGCAGAGGCCCTGAGTTTCATTCCCAGTACTGAAAAAAGATCATATTTCATGGAAAATTTGTGAAATTTGAATATATAATTCAAATTACAGTATCTATAATGTTTTATCAAAACACAGTCGAGTGCATTTATTTATATACTGGCTATAGCTGCTTTGACACAAGCTGAGGAGTTTTTTCAAAGACAGTATATTCCACAAAGCTTAAATTGTTATCTGGCCCTTTGCAAAAAGAATTTGTCAACTTCTGTCCTCCTCCCACCACTACCACATAACCCTGGTTCATCCCTTTCAATCCATACAGCTATCTAAAATTCTAGTTTGTTACTTTGTTTACTTATTTCCCTCTAATAGAATATATATTATAAGAGGTCAAGGGTTTGCACATTTTTGCTCCTGTTGTATACCCTGTGCCAAGCTCAGTGCTGGGAACACAGGAGGTGTTCAATAAACACTCGAAGGAAAGAACTGTAGAGACAAGGAAGCAAGCAGGCTCAGGTCACCGGAGAACGCATATGCTTCCAGAGTCTAGGAGTAAGGCCAAGGACCATTTCCACCTCTCAACTTTTCATGACCTTGCTCACCGGACGAGTCTTCATCCACGTTCTCGTACTGCAGAAGTCGATCTAGGAGGAAACTGAGGGAAGATGGGAGGAGTGCTTGTTTCCATCCAGCAGTGTTCCCTTGGGCCCCTGCCCCTCCTAGAGGCCCCACTGGATCCCCCAAACGTGCTTCCCTCACCTCTTGTCTCGCGACACCTTCAGCAGCTTCCTCTGAGCCTTCCTCAGCTCCTCCTGGAAGCACTCGTGCTCCTGTAGTAAGAGAAGGGCCCGGGCTGTGCTGCGCATCACAGGGCCCGGGGACAGCTCGCCCATCGCCCACGCCCTCTCCCCCTCCACAGGGGCCAACTGCGGTCCTCTCAGCGCCAGGCCTCATGCACAACCTCCCCACCCCAGCACTCACGTAGATAAGAAACTTGAGCTTCCGCTTCAGATTTCGGTATTTCTTTTTGTAGTCCACTTCGCCGTCCGCCGGCCCGTTCATGGCCAGCCCGGGGGCAGCGCCTTGGCGCTGCGAGTCCCCCTACCCTGAGCCAGCTCAACAAGGACTCTCACGCTCTTCGCTTCCGGAGACTCTACGAGGTTGCGCCCGCACGGCCTACAACTCCCGGCAGGCCCGGCGCGGGGTGCGTAACCACGGGAACCGCGCCGTCGGGGAACACCCGGAAAGGAGCGCGGCTTCCAGTGGCCACACTGAAGATGGCGTGACAGGCACCCTGTGACGTCACGAAGATGGCGGACACTGGCGGGCGCCGTTAGCGAGTCCAAGTGAACTTGGAGATTTGGAATCACAGAAAGGACTCCCTCAATATTCCTAGTCTCCTCGCTAGGGTACCCTTTTTCTTCTCTTTCGAAATAACAGCGGCCTTGCTGGTGTCCGTGACCACGGAGGAAGGTGGCGTCGCGAGCTGATTACGTACACCCAAAGGTTATCAGTAACAAATCGGTTTCTAACGAAAACCGTAAAAACGATTCGTTGTAACAAAGGCTACGTGCTTCGAGACACTCCAGCTGCCCAGGAAAAGCAACTTTTGTGTGGCAAACTTTTCAGCCCCCGCGGTCCACAAACCGAGGGCCAACGGCGCCGCGCCTCACAGTGCTGCAGCACGGCGCGTGCGCAAACTGCTCTCAGACGGCTGACGGAGGCCGAGAAGAAAAAAGGCGGGAGCCACTAATCCCGGGTAGAGCAAAATGGCGCGGGAGAATGAGCTGCGGGAGTTCACGCACAGCTTCTTCGGAGGCCGCCCTGACCTCAGGTGCACAGGGGATTGGAGTTAGGGCTGGAAAGGGCCAGGGTGGGTCGTGGACTCTGTCTTGACACTAGTCTCTTTAGCACGCTCACGCACTCCATCGTGCGGCAGAAGTTCTTGGCTCACACGGGTCGCAACCATTTGGAACCCGAGGAGAAGCAGGCGCTGAAGCGACTGGTGGAGGAGGAGCTACTGAAGATGCAGGTGTGGGTATGAACCTGGGCCCCAGGAGTGTGTTGCCCCGGAGGAGTTGGGCAGGACACACCCTTGGTACCTTTTGCCCTCTTGGTGCACACAGGTGGATGAAGCTGGAACCAGGCAAGAGAAGTCAGACCTCACCAAGAAGGTGAAGAGGCCTTCCACCTTCTGCAGTGACCAAGAAAGAAAAAGGTTCTGCTTCAATTCAGAATCAGGTCAGTGCCTCCTCCTTGCCATTTGTGCATTTTTCGTCACTGGTTTATTCAGAAGGCATTTACAGTGCAAGAGCTGAGGCCAGTGAGTCAGGAACCAGGAGGAGGGTGCAGTGAGAGCTGTGTTTCCTGCTGCTCTTCCCACCGTGGGAGCAGGGCTTAGAAACAGCCTGCCCCAAATGCAGGCAGACAGGACAGGAAGAACCCATCCCAACTCCCTCTTCTCCGTATTCCAGCGTCCAAGTCTGCAGTCTCCAGTCCAGACTGCTTTGGAAGCCCAGCAAAGAACAGGACGGCAGAAGCAGAAATCAGCCCCGCCGAGGAGGAGCATCCAAGGCAGGCCTCAGAGAAAGCAGTTGAGAACAGTGACGGAGAACGGCAAAGGGACCAGCCTGTAAAGCAGCTGGCAAAGATGAGATCAGAGGAGAGCAGTGAGGAAGAGGAGAGCTTAGGGGAGGAACAGGAGGAGGGCTCTGTAAGAATAAGAAAGATCTTGAAGGAAAAGGACAGTGAGGAAGGTGAGGAAGAAAAAGAATATAAGAGTGGGACTACAAAGAAACCTATGACCAAGAATGAGCAGGCACCAGGCAAGGCCTCAGCCAGTAAGCACCAGACCAGGGAGGAAATCGAGGACAGTGAGGAAGAGCCTGTCCAGAGGAGAGCAAAGCAGTCTGGGGGAAGTAGAGAAGCTAAAAGCCATGAGGAAAGTGAAAAGGAGAGTGAGGAGGAGGAGTGCCTAGCCACAGAAAAGGAGAACATGGAGGAGAAGGACAAAGATGGGGAGGAAGAAGGGGAGGATTGGAAACCCAGAGCTAGGAGCAAAGGAGCCAAAAAGTCAGCTTCGGAGGGGAAGAGGTGTAAGCAAGAAAGCAGGGTGGGGAGGCTGAGTGACTCGGGGGACAGTGGGGAAAAAGAGGAAGAGGCAGCAGACAGTGGAGATAGCAGTGGGAGAGGCAGAGAGCCTCCAGTGTACAGGAAGAGCAAGGACAGAACCCTGGGTCAGGGTAGGAAAAGGCAGAACAGAAGCAGTGAGGATGAAGACAGCTGCAAGGTGCAAGCACCTGCTCAGGGCACTGCAGAGACAGCCAGACCAGGCAGTGCCACTGGTGAGGAGAGTGACTCGGAAAGGGAGGTAAGTGACAGCGAGGCAGTGGGGAGCCCCAAGGGAGAGAGGAAGACCCACTCTTCCAAGAAGAGCTCTAAGAAAGGCAGAACACGAAGCTCCTCTTCCTCTTCCGATGGAAGCCTGGAGCCCAAAGACAGGAAGGTGAGGGTCCAGACAGGGCGGGAGCCATCGCCGGGGAAAAAGGAGACCCCAGCAGGCTCGGTCTTCAATTGCTTTCTTTGCCAGGCTAGTTCTGGTTGCCATGGAGAGGACCACCCAGCTGTGACCAGGCTGAAGCGCTACATTCGGGCCTGTGGTGCCCATCGAAACTATAAAAAGCTGCTGGGATCCTGTCGCTCACACAAGGAGTGCCTGAGTGTACTCCGGGCAGAACTGGAGGCCCTGGGCATGAAGGGTGAGGCAGGCTGTGTCCTGGGGGCCGGTGGAGGGCTGTGGCTTCAGGGGAGGAGAGGATCACAAGCTGCTTGTGCCCCAGGTAACCCTTCCTTGGAGAAGTGTCGGGCTCTGAAGGAGCAGCGGGAAGAGGCAGCGGAGGTGGCCTCCTTGGATGTTGCCAACATCATCAGCAGTTCAGGTGAGGAGTCTCCTCCCTGCTTGGGAGTAGATGGGGTTGGACTTCTTCAGAGAGCTGACCTGCCCTTGTTCGCCCTAGGCCGGCCACGTAGGCGCACCGCCTGGAACCCTTCCGGAGAAGCAGCCCCCTTTGGGGAGCTGTACCGCCGGACCCTGGACTCAGAGGAGGAGCAGCCTCGCCAGGCCCCCCCAGACTGGTCACACATGCGAGGCATCATCAGCAGTGATGGCGAGAGCAACTGAGTGCTCCCATCCCCTAGGAGGGACCTTTCCGTGTGTACAAAGTGCATACAGCATCCCGTGCTCTCAACCTGAAAAGCAAAAGCAGCTTTCTTCAAGGAGGCTACAGCCCCAGGGGCAGAAACCATTCAAACACTACTTCTCAGCTTCACGTGTTCTCCGTTAGTCACGGTGTTCACAGGGGTTTATTTTTTGAGACCCAATAAAGGAATGTTTGTAAGCACCTCATCCAGAGCAGTCCTCTGCTCTTATGTCACCTGTGATCTGGGGATGGGAAGCTGAGGAGTAGCCACTGCTGCTGGTAGGCAGGTGTCTACAGGTTCGAGCTGGGCATGGTGGCGCCCACCTGTAATCCTAGCACTCAGATTGCTGCGAATTTGAGACCCTGTCTGCCGCCAGCCAGGCCGTCTCAGAAGGGTGTGGCTCCTAGCTCTCCTGCAGGCTGAGCAGTGAGCTCAGTTATCCTGCTCTTAGCTAGGTCGCTGACTGACATGCAGGTGGGAAGATAATCTCACAATGGGCCAGAGTGTGAGTACAAACCGACTCGGGGACAGTCTGTCTTCCTTCCCATTCACAGCCAGATTCCAGGCTAACGAGAGATGTGGACCTTATCGTCTAACCAGGGCCCACAGGCCTCTGCCAGAACTCCTGCTGTTGAGGCACCAGTGAGATAAGTGTAGAGCTGCCAGGGATCTATATGAAGTGGGCCTTCTGAGAATATGAGACCAAGGCATAGGAAAGCAGAGGAATGAAGAGGTCAAAAGATCGAGGACCTCCTTTGAGGTCCTGACCCAGTCATGCCTGAAGCCATTAAAATCACTCAAGTCGGGCTGGAGAGTTAGCCCAGTGGTTTCACCGACTGCTGAGCAAGCGCAAGGACCCGAGTTCGATCCCCGGTACCAAAAAAAATCAAGTTTTCAGCTACACAACTCCGTATATGCAGTGCCATCAGCACCTGCCACTGAACAAGTCCTTCCTACACCACACAGAAAGGGTGAGTCCGGGATCTGTTAGAATAACCAACAGTTTATTAAAAGCTTGCCCTGGGGCTCTGTGCCAGCCCCGCAGCTGAGAGGGGCTCCCGTCACTGCCACGGGGCTCAGGAGCAGCCCTTGGCAAGATCCTTCCCTTGTTCCCCTGCCCCAACCCTGACCCCAATTTAAAAAAAAAAGACAAGACGGCACAGGACGTCAGACAGCAACGGGGGAGTGGACAGGCACCCCGACAGACCCCTCCTGCTCCTCCTGTCCGAGGAAGGCTCGCATTCGACCCCCTCGGTCCCCACCCTGCTCTGCCACGCCACGGGTCTGGGGGTCCTGTCGCCCCGGCCCCCCTGCAAGGGTTGTATAGTTCTCTGAATACATATATCTAGACCCACCCTGCCCCCCTCCCCCCGGGACGAGATGAAATTTGCCTCGCACAACTCTGTCCTCTCCCAGGTGTTGAGGAAGACCCTGGCACCATGGTGGGGAGGCGGGGCCACTGGTCAGACTTGGGGAGCTGATACCCAAGCTGGCCCAGCGCCACCAGCCAGCCCCAAGAAGCTCATGAGATGAGAAGGTCGAGGGGAGCTGGAGCCCACTCTGTCCCCACCACCCTCAAGTAGGCTGTAGCTTGCGCCCGAGCGGGCAGACTGCGCCCGCCCTGCCCTTCAGGAGTAGAAGTGGGAGGAGCCATTGAGGATGTGGGAAGCCACACTGGTGCTGCGGCTCAGAGGGCCCGGCACAGCCGCCGCGGGGGGACCCACGTTCTCACTGCCGCTCCCCCCCGAGGCTGCCCGCCGGAGGGGTTGGGGGCTGTTCCTTAGCAGCAGCAGAGCTCCGCCACGGGGCGTCCCACTCTGTGTCGGGGGCCCCAGCCAGTTTGGGGGGCCGGGGGGAGCCAACAGAGCCGGCTGGCGCCAGGCTGGGGGGGGCATGCCCGGTGGAGGAGGGCCGTGGCTCCAGTGTGCCCCTGAGCGGGGGACGGGGCGGGAGGGCCAGGCGGGGGCAGGCGGCGGGGCGGGGTAGCCCTGGGCAGCAGCCTCCGCGGGGATGCCCCCCAGGGCCATGCTGGAGAAGCCCAGCCTCATGCTCTCGGCGTCAAAGGCCTCGATCTCGCGGGCCTGCCGCTCAAGCAAACTCCGGATCCGCTCGGAGCGCCCGGTCTGCAGCGCCAGCAGCTCCTCTTCCACCTGGGGCACCCAGAACAGGGGTTAGGGCGCTGGGGCGGCGCTGCCCTCCTGCCCGGTCCCGGAGCCCGCCCCTCACCCGCTGCTCCAGCAGCGCCCGCCGCAGCGTCACTCTCTGCTCCCGCTCCCGAAGCTCCCGCTCGTGCTGGCTCTCCGTGCGGATCTTGATCTTGCTCTGGTAGGCGTTGAGCAACTCCAGCTCCTGCTGAAGCTGCTGCCGAAGGGCCTGGAACTCTGCCTCCTGGGTCTCATCAAGCCGGAGCTGCAGGGCAGGGACACCAGTTTTGGGGACTTCCGCACCCCACAGTCCTCCCTGCCCCAGGCCTAGGCCCTAAGGCTGCAAGAAGCAGCGGTCTCAAGCCTATCAGAATGGAAGTCCCGCGTGCCTTGTACACAGCAATTACACTCGCAGGGATCTACCCCACGTATACTTGCACATGTGCTCAGTGTGCAGGAAGCGCTGGGATAGCAAAACTGGAGACAGCCTAAACGTCCATCAGCAAGGGGCGGGTTAAATAAACCTACACTGTAAAAAAAGAGTGGGGGCCGGGGATTTAGCTCAGTGGTTCAGCCACCTGCCTCAAAAGTGCAAGGTCCCGAGTTCGATCCCCGGTACCAAAAAAAGAGAGAGAGGTGTGCTGACATGGAAAGATGCCAAAGAAATAGGAAGTGTAAGAAGTGAGAGAACAATGTGTAACATAGGATTTCACGTGTGTTTTAGAATGCATTGGAAGAAAGTCTATAATCATTAGGTCACCTCTGAGAGGTGGGACAGGGGAGATGGGGCACTGGGACTCTGCAGCCTGGGGCCCACTCCAGAGTGGTGTGTGCACTGTGTACCACAGCAGTGCTCTAAAGCTCCTGGGCCAGGCCGGGCCAACGGGCCCACGGGCCCAGGGCCACACGCATTGTAACTTGCTCCCTGTTCACGAGTTAAACTAACTTAGGCCCAGGAAAACACTATAGCCACTCTTTTCCGTGATGATTCTTGGTAGTCAGGATGGCTTTGTCAAAACCTTAAGAAAATACTAAGAGAAATAAAACCATTGCAGTGAAACAACAGCCGTTTCTCAGGTACAGAAAGCCCCAGCTCAGCCCACACCTCCCCCTTTCACCGCCCACAGCTAAGCCAGAGATTCACAGGCCGCTCTCCATCCTCCCTCCCAGCCCCCAGGCCTCACCGCCTGCGAGCTGAGCATTTCCGAGATGGACTGGTCGTACTGCTCGGCCAGGATTGCCAGCTTGCGGGTCTGCTCTTCCTTGAGCCGCTTAAGGAGGCTCTTGTGCTGAGCCTTAGGCGTGGTCTCCAGCAAGTGTGCCCGCAGAGCCTTGTACTGCCGAGTCTGGATCTTACACGTCTCCTGGAACTGCTTCTTGATCTGCAGCTCTTTAGACTGCGCAGTGGACGGATCAAGGGGAAATGGCGGCAAAGACGAGGGGAGGAAGAGGAGGGGGAGGAAGAGGAGGAACAACCAGGGGAAATGGGAAGAAGAGAAGGAGAGGAGAGGAGACAGAAGCAGAGACAGGGAGAGGGAGAGAAACAGAAAACATGTTAGACAGAGGGGGCGGGGGGAGCTGTACACAGACAGGTGTGGAGAGATGGGGTTGTGTGGAGAGGTCAGGAAGGTCTCGATGGCCAAGAGATGCAGGGAGAATGAGACAGATTCCATGAGCACGTCCAGGGTTGGGTGAATACCACGAGAAGGAACGTCAGAGTTCACAGACAAGGAACTGAGACTCTATAGAGGACTGAACGCACAAAAGAAGCTTTGAGCATGCAAAGAGGAAGAAAGTATGACCTTGGGATAGAAGCACATGTGCAAATAGAAGAATGTGCAAATGACTGAGAACACCCACGGAGAAGGCAACACCACTAAGGGCAGACAGGAAGTCCCAGGTCCAGCACCTTGGAGGAAGGCAGGGAAGGAGACGTACTGAGCTGAAAAATGGGTAAGATGGGGTGGCCCTATCATGGGCCACAGGAGGGCAAGGTGGCCAGATAGGGCTCAATTCCACAGGCCAACAGCTGCTACCCTGACTAGATTCACTCCAGCTGGCTCCTATATGCTCTGCTCCCGTCCAAGTCCGCAGCCAACCCAGTCCCAGGGCCGCACTCTGCCTGCACCCAGCTCACTACCCTCAACTGCAGAGGGTCTGCCGCCCTGTCCCCCAGCCCCTTAGGCTAACGCCTGAGCAGGAGAGATGCAGCTCCGGCACAGAAGGGGACAACACGGGCCATGGGCTGGTAGAAGAGGCAGCAGACAAGGAGGTTAAAGGACCTGGACCCTAACGGGCCCTCTGGAAGCGACCCATAGCAAGGGCCCTTGGGCCAGGAAGCTCTGTGGAAGCTCCACACAGGCCCTAAGGCCAGGGCTAGTGGTGGTCGTGGTGCAATGAAGCTATGAAGGCAGAGAAGATGAAGCTGAGGAGTGAAAGGGACTGAGATAACGTAGATGGGGAGGGGAGGTCATGGAGCTGGGGGCCAAGGGTCCAGATCGGGGGCAAACCAGGGAGGCTAGGCGGCAGGACAAAGCAGACAGAGGCAGCCTGGGCCAAAGGTACAGTTCCGCTGATATTTTATTTGCGTTTGTCTTTTTCTTTTCTTTTTTGGTGAGGGAGAGGGGAACAGGTTGGAAGGGAGACAGAAAAACAAAATCAAAGAGGAGAAAAAAAACCAAACCGGTCATGACTCTTCCCACCCTCTCGCCCCTGGCCCCAGCCTGAGTCGATGAGGGTGAGGATGAGCACACACAGCGGGACAGCAGCAATAACTTAGGGGCGGGAGGACACACAGTGTGACTTCCGGACTCTGCAGTGGAGGGGCTGCTGTCTAGAAGCTGGAAGGGCTGTGCTTAATAGGGTGCATACTGCGGAAGGAGGGCAGGAGGGAGAAGGGGCTGGGGACCGGAAACTTCACTGAGTGCTGGGAGATAAAGTGCTCGATGCTCTACTGGGCAGGGAACAGGCTAGAGCTGGTTACCTCCAGGGAGGCAGGGTCCGGAACTGGCGGGTCCGGGATCTCCGCCCAGCTAAAGTCCCTGGTGGTGGCTGGCGGCAGGCAGGGGCCCCAAGCCGCCGCCGGCTGCGTGGCAGCAGCCGGGGGATCCGACTGGGCCGTTCACCTCGAAGCAGGCCCCAGCTGGCCAGCATGTGGACGGCCCAGGGGGGCAAGTGGGAGGCTAAGCCCTGGCTGGCACGTGCCAAGCGCCAGTTCCAGCCCTTGCACAGAGCCCAAACCTGTGCCATCAGGGCAAGGGGGTGTAGGGCAGTGCGAGGATTGCCCCGCCGGGGCCCAGGGACGGGCAGGCGGCTGCGGAAGCCATCCTTGTTGGTTTTAGGGTACAGTGCAAACAGGCCCCGGTCGCCCACAGCCCCACAGCCCTGCAGGGCCCAGAAGACCATGGGCGACAAGCGCAGCAGAGCCCGCAGCCAGAGCCGAGAGATGCCCCGGCGCATCCGGGGGGCCTGCTGCCGCACCCATCTGCCCCCAGCTGCCACAGCTGCCAGAGGTAGAGCTAGGCCTGGCCAGGCTAGGAGCCAGGCAGCCCCAAGGCCCAGAGGTACACCCACAAGGCCTCGGCGCCAGCTCAGGCCCAGGACGGCCCCCAGAGCAACCCCCTGGGCCAGGAGCAGGAACAGGCTGGGGGGCAAGTCCAGAGCTGTACAGAGGAGCAGGTAGGAGGCCCCTAGGCCCACCAGGCCCACCTCAAGGGCCAGGAGTGCTGCCTGCAGGCCACCCCCACCCTGGGCCGCCAGCAGTGGGAGCAGCAACAGAAGCAGTAGGGGTAGAAGGCCAGAGGAGGACCCCACTGCAAAGGAAAGGCCAGCCAGCAGGCCGTGAGTCAGGAGTCCAGGGAGCTGGCTAGGAGGACTGGGCCTCAGATGCGGTGGAGGGGGCTCTGGGGGGATGTCCGGGGAGGGACAGCCATCACCAGGATCCCTAGGGGTCCCAACTGGAGCCCCCTCCTCCTCATCCTCTTCCTCCTCAGGGACTGGAGTCAGTGCTGGGCTCTGGACCCAGTCGGGTTCAAACTCCTCATCCAGAAGGTTCCCATCCTCCTTCTCCCACAGCTCCCATGCCCTGGGCTCCTCCTGACCAACAATGTTCCTCTCAGGTGCCAGCGATGGGACTCTAAGCTCCTCTATCTCCTCCTCAGGTAGTCCCCAATCTTCCTCATTAACTGGATTCCGAGGCTTTTGTGGGTTGGGACTAAGGGTTCCTGATTCTTCCCCCCAAATCCTTTGCTCCTCTGGCTCCAAGGTAGCCCCTTCCTTTCCCAGGATCCTTCTCTCTGGTACTGCTTCCTCCTCTCCCAGCATCCTTTGGTCCAGGACTGCCTCCTGGCCAGATGAGCAGGGCTGAGCTTCACTAGGGGTGCCTGTGCTGAGTGGTCCCAGAGCCCCAGTAACAGGGAGGCCCGGGGGGCGCTGGCCTGCACGTACTTTGAGGCTCTTGGGCTGCTGGCGAACCTGGGCTGCATGCTTCTGCCGCAACTCTTGTTCACGTCGCTTGTTGTACTCCAGCTGGTTGCCCAGTTCTGTCTGGTGCTGCAGGCGGGTGAGCTCAGCTCGTGTGCGCTGGACGGCCTGGAGCTGCCGGAGTTCCAGCTCCCGAGTGGCCTCATGCTGCCGCAGCAGCAGCGCACACTCCAAGTCCTTCTGTGTCTGTTTCTTGTTCAAGTCCTGAGGTAGAAAGGAGGCAGGGCCCAGGGACCAGTCAGGGAGGCTTGTTGACAGCAAGGAAGTAAGAGCCCAGGACTTGCTGGCGGAGAGAGCTGGAGTGGCGTGGCAACGGGAGGTATGAGCACTTGGCTGGCCTGGGAATAGAGCCCAAGGCCATCCTCACAAGGTCCCACATAGAAAGCAAGAGGGTCACCGAGAAGTGGGAACACCACCACCAGGGTAGAAGTGAGCGAGGCCGATGGAATGGAGAGAGGGGAAGCGCTGAGAGCCGTGACTGAGTGCAGGAGGAAGGGCAGGAAGGAAGCCTACCTCTCGCAGCAGGTCCTGGTCCAGGCTGTGGCGAGCCAGAAGCATCTTGCGCTTATACTGGCGACACTGCAGCTCAAAGTACTGGCGCTGCCGCCGCAACAAGCCTGCTTCCTCCTCCGCCTGGCACTGCTGGAGCTGCTCCTTCTGCCGCAGCAGCCACTCGGCCTTCTCCCGCTTGGGTGTGCTGGGGTTCTCCTGGAGCTCCTGGCAAGCGCAGTGGGGCTCAGGATCAGGGTGGCCTGCCTACCTGCGCCCCACTGGCCTGCCCCTTGCAGCAGGCCAGCCCCAGCCCACCTCCTTCAGCTGCTCCTTCCGAAGCTTGTAGGTTCGCTTCTGCGCCTCCAGCAGGGCAGCCAGCTCCTTCTTCTGCTGCCCGAGGATATGCTGCTGGAACTTCCGCTCCTCAGCCTGGGCGGCTCGAGCCTCCTTCTCACCAATGGCCTGGTGTCGCCGGGCCAGCTTTTCTGCCTCAGCCCCAAAGCCAGCCCGCTGCGCCTCAAGCTCCCGCTGCAGCCGTGCACTGTGCTCCTCACGTTCACCCCTCAGCCGCGACTCCAGAGCCAGCAGCTGCTTTTGGTGTTGTCGCCGCATCCGCTTGTAGCCACTGAGCTGCTCCCGCAGGGCCGAGTCCTGCTCATGCTCCTGGATCTGGCGGCTGACCTGGGGCAGGAGAGAGGATGGGAAGTGGGGCTCATCCTTGGGCCCCCTTTTATTCACACAGATTGTCTTTGAGCTCCTTGGGGAAGCACATGGGTTTCAGGCTAACTGGTTCCACTCATGTAGTACCTTCCTCACGCTTAACCTGAGCCTGTTTCCTCAAATGGATGATGGAGATATTATTTACTTCACTGAGTTAAGTGTGATCAAAGGAGGTGAGAAAAGGTGGTGAGCTCAGGGCCTGGCACAAAAGTAGAAAAAAATCACGTTAGTTCAAAAGAATGAACTGGACAGACTGGGACTCAAATCCCAGCTCTGCCACTTGCTAACCAAGTGATCTGAAGCAAGTTAACTTCTCAGAGCTTCACTTCTCCCATCCTTACACATATGACGAGACCTTCTCCTAGGAGCTGCTTAGACAAGTCTGATGCACACAGAGCAGCACCTAACAGGTTCCCTGCACGGGCAGGGGTCAAGGTCCTTCCCTTCAGCAAACACCAAGGGCCAACCCTACCCCAGGTCCTAAGCTGGGATCTGGGACCCTGGGTGTCTTCACACAAGTCTCATTCTCAACTGCTCCATCAGTGGTTCTCAACTGAGTTCAGGTGGCCCAGGCCCTGGAAGAGACAGACCTCGTGCACAGCATAAAGCCCCTGAGGAGCTGGAGAAACACCCCAGCAGAACCACTGCTACATGTAGAAGCTGTGCAAACATACAGACCAATCCAGTGGCCTCCAGGAGGACTGCTGGTACTCAAATTCATTTAAGTGGGAATGTGATCTACAGGTTTAATAAAAGCTACATTTTATGGAAAGTCGAACACATTTTCCTATGAACTGAGAAAAAGACCGGCAAAACTTGATTGTAGGGAGGACTGAGGTCCTGCCTACAGAGTTTGGGCCCTGTCACAAGTGCCTGGCCAGGCAGCCCCTTCGAGCCTCAGCAGCTTCATCGCTCAGATGGGATCCGACCTCCTTCCTGGGGCAGCTGGGAAGATTAAGTACAGGGATATATGCGTGCCTGCAAGCTCATCACTGGCACGACGCAGGCCCCTGTACTCCACCCCAAGCCTGGGGCAGAGAATCCAGCAAACCTGCAAAATGCCATCCTGAGCAGCACAGCGGGCTGAAGGTATACAGGGATGTGAATGCCCAACTGGCCAGAGGAGCCCAGGAGCCCCACGTTATTTCAGCCAGGCCATGAACACAGAGTAAGTTTGCTAAGCTAGAGACACCTAGACCAGTGGTGTGACCTCAACAGTCTGCTGGGAGAAGGGAGCAGGCAGGCTAAGAAGAGAAGGCAAAAAACAGCAACAGAAGGAGTGTTGAGTCTGGACTTAATCATATATGACTGGGACAAAGTCGTCTCTGGACTTAGCACCCAGCATGTAGCAAAAAGGACAGCAAGCTGGCTGAGTGGGGAGGCTGCACTCACCAGGGAGGCGGTCCGGATGGTGGCAAAGTGGTCCCGGTTACGGCAGTAGGCCCGTCGGCGGGCAGAAGAGGTGGTGGAAGCAGGAGCTGGGGCTGTGGAAGGCTGGAGAGGGCCTGGGGTGATCTCCGGCTGGAAGGGGTCATCATACAGGCTATCAGAGCCCTAGGCAAAGGAGAGGCAGGAGATACCAAAACTCAGAGGCCCATTCAGACTGAGGAGGGAAAGCTGGGACCCAGGCGACTCCCTAGCAGGACAGCTCAGGCCTGGCCAACTGCCCCATCGGCTACATACCGGAAGCCGGTGGATGACGGAGCTGTGTGAGGTGACTGTGTGCTCCCCCTCCTGCATCATGGCCATCTCTCTGGCTTCAGGGCCTTCTTCCTCCTCTTCTTCCTCTTCCTCCTCTTCCTCCTCCTCCTCATTGTCTGAGGCGTCTGCTAGGCTGTTGACTGAGCTACTCTGACTAGAGGCGCTGATAGACATGCTGGGCACCGAATGGCTGCTCTCTAGACTGGTCAGCGTCCCTGCCCGGTGCATGTAGGGCTCTGCCTCCTGTGAACAGGGTGTGGGCTGTATGGCAGGGAAGGCAAAGGTATAGGGCAGGACAAGCAGATAAAAGGGTGTGAAGTGCGGTGGAGAGGACTTGGGACAAAGCCCAGCATGGAGAATAAGGACAGGGCGGGGCCAGCTGGGTCACCTCTTCTTCCTCAGGAGCCTCAGCGCCAGGACCATTGGGCGCCTCTTGGAAAAGGATCTTCTTCATCTTGCGGTACTGCAGGTTGTCCAGCTCCCGCACAGCATCCTTGGTTCTCTGGATTAAGTCCATGATGACAGTGGGTGGCCGCTCCCGGAGCACAAAGCGGTGCTGGGGGAAGAGGACAGTGAGGCCTGCTGCTGACCCTGCCCTGCCGGAACCCATGGCTCTCCCCTGGGGCCCATGCCATCACCATATGATGCTGGCCTGTCTCAAGCCCTCCTCCCACAGTGATTCGCTCCACCACCTAGGCTCTACTCTACAGCCTCTCGTTCCTCCAGCCACGGTTGACAGGTACAACAGGCAATCTGGACGCCAGCCCAGCACCACTACCCAAGTGCTATGTGACATTGGATGTGTCACGAGGCCTCTTTGGGCATAAGGTATTTCACAATTATAAAACAAGTAAGCCAGACATGCTGCTCCATGCCTGTAATCCTAGCACTCAGGAGGCTGAGGCAGGAGGATCGCCATGAGTTGAAGGCCAGCCTGGGCTAGGCAGTTCAAGGCCAGCCTAAACTACGTAGTGACACTCTGTCTCAAAAAACCAGTAACATGGGCTGGGGATTTAGCTCAGTAGTACCACCACCTGCCTTGCAAGTGCAAGGTCCCGAGTTTGATCCCCACTACAAACAAAACAAAACAAAACAATCAGTAAAAACAAAACCCAAAAAACCAAGGAAGTCAAACTAGACAGTCTAAGTTCCCACCTAGGGTCTTTAGGTCCCCATGGTATAGGAAGGGAACAGGGGCCCTCTAGTCTTGATGAATGACTCAGACACACCTAAGAGAAGTCATACATTTACACATGATAAGGCTACACAGGCTTGAATTACAGCAGTATGGAACCCTGGTTATTCCATACTGACCAGAACCTCTGGCTGACAGTTACATGTATGTTTGATTAATGAAAAATGCAAAAGCAAATTATTACTCAATAAATTAACATAAAAAAAGTCTAGCAAAACACACAGTCCATGGCATTGGAGATGGAGGTGGGAATTCATAAAAGCAGCTCTTGGTGCAGGAACTGGGAACCACTCGTCCCACTTCGGGTTTCTTTGCTCTGCTGTGCCGAGGCCACAGGAGGGTGCTTGGCCAACAGGCCCTCACCTTCAGAAGAACCTCTGAGGTTGGTCTGTCTTGAGGGATTTTCTGAAGACAGGAGTCAACAAAATTCCGGAAGTACTCAGACCTGGAGGTGGGAGTGGGTAGGAGACAGGTAGGGAGGGCATGAGCCACATGACTGACCCCAAAACCTAACCCCCAGGGCCAGGAATCCAGTCCTCACCAGTGTCCTGACTGGAGCACGGGGGACTCATTCTGTGCAATGTGGTATAAGGCACTCATCGCATTCATGTTAAACAGTGGTGGTTTCCGTTCCGCTAGAGGAGGTCGAGGGGGACGAGAGGTAGAAGGTAAGCAGAGGGGACCAGAATGGAGCTCAGATGACTTGGGTTCGTACCTCAGCTTCCTGGCTGTGACCTTGGGCAATTCCCAGAACCCTGTGGAGTCTCAATTTTTTCCTCTGTAAAATACAACACCCTTCCATTCCCCTGCCCTCAGATGGAGCAGCGATCAAAGAAAATAACACTCACAAAGCACTGAAACAGAAGGCAGAACAAAGTCCACTCACAGGTTGTACCAATCAGCTCAACTAAAATTAGTAGATACAACACAAAAGTAAAACCTTGCTAAAGGGAAGAGAAAAATGAGGAGCAGCCCTCACAGAACTTGGAAGTCTAAATGGAAGCTCACATAGGGCTGGACAATGACACCAACTTATGAGTGTTACTGGGGTACCCAGAGACCAGAAAACAGCGGGGCAGCTGAGTGCTGCGGGACTTCAAGCTCATGCATCTGCAGGGAACAGGAAAGGGCTTTTGGAAAAAGGGTTACTGGAGCTAGACCTTGGATTACATGTCCAAAGTCAGGAGCTCCTTGTGGCCCACACAAATGTTTTGTACTGCTCATGTTTTTGGCCTCATCAATGATTTAAAAAAATTAATTGCAACAATAACAACCTAAATTTCATCTTTGTCTTAAAAAATTAGATCAAGCACCCGGGATGTAGCTCAGTGCTTCTGCCACTTGCCTGGCAAGGGCAAGGACCTGAGTTCAATCCCTGGTACCAAAAAATAAAATAAAATAAAAAATTAGATCTAAGCCAGGGATGGTAGTGCAGGCCTATAATCCCAGCACTCAAGAGGATGAGGCAGGAAAATTATTGTGTGTTCAAGGCCTGCCTGGGCTACACAGCGAGACCCTGTCTCAAAACCAACAAAATAACAAGAAAAAAATGAGATTAGAAACACAACTGATATTACTGCATGACAATGGGCCAGAGCTAAGTGCTCTTCCTCTGGGAATGGCCATATCCAGGTTGCCATGCCCTCCCTCATCCTGCATTTCCAAAACTGCCTTTGAATATCAGTTGCCATTTACAATTAGGCTTGACCCCTCCCCCAATAGTAGAGAACTGGATTTTTTTTTTTTTTTTTTTGGTACTGGGGATTGAACTCAGAGCCTCGGGGTTGCCAGGCAGGTGATGTACCACTGAGCTACATCCCCGGCCCTAGAGAACTATTTTTTTGTATTCATGTCTCTACCAAAAGCTAGGACTATGATGGATAGATCTGCCTTATTCTTCTACTTATTCTATTGTAAGAAAGGATAAGGATGACTACATCTTGCAGGCAATGGGAAGCCACTAGTGGCTCTGAGAGGGTAGTGAAATAACTGCCCTGAGCTTAAACAGAAATCTGTGGCATCAGCACATAAGCGATGACACGGGAAAGACTGCTGCATGGAATTGTGGATAAGAGTAACCAACAGCAACTCTTTCTTGGGCAACTATTCTTTGCCTGGCATTGCACTGGGGGTCTTACAAACATTACCTCATTAAACAGGTGCTTCAGTGCTATGGGCTGGCAGAGATAAGAACCCTGACATGGCTTCAAGGACTCATGAATTCTCTCTCTCAGACTTTGTCACTACTCTGCATTACATGCTTCAGTTTCAAACAAGTGAAGCTAGTGTCAGTTCCCCATGCCTACTTTTTTATTTTTGAGTCAGGGTCTCGCTGGCCTTGAACTCACAGCAGTCCTCCTGCCTCAGCCTCCTGAGTGCTGGGACTACAGGTGTGCACCACCACAGCCAGCATCCCATGCCTACTCTTACCTCTAGACCTCTGTATACACCACTCCCGTAATGCTCTTCCCTACACCCTTCCAACGGTTATTATTTGTTTTGTGGGTCTGCTTAAACATCTCTGCTACAAGGCCTTCCTCGGCTCCCAAACTAGGGCAAATTCCTTTTTTTATGTCTGCATTTTCCCATTCAGCTTTCGTCACAAAGAGAAAAAACATGCCTGGTGTCTTCAACTCAAATCTAAATTCCATGAGGGCAAGAATCTTATTTATTGCTATGCCTCCAGAACTTAGCACATGCATGCCACAAAGCGGAAAAGTGATGACTGATACAAGATTTGACAGTTGCTTGTATTGGGGTGCCAGGGTAGAGTCAAAATGGAAAGGGGCTTGCAGGCCTTGGTTCCAGTCCTAGGGGGGACAGTACAGAAGGGAGCTGGGAAGAAAGAGGATGAAGGAGCAGAGAGGAAGACACCCTTACCCAGCTCGATGCAGGTTATCCCCAAAGACCAGACGTCCACTTTGCCATCGTACTGCCCCTCGTCCATTGCCAGGATCACCTCTGGAGCCATCCTGGGAGAATGGTCAGAGGAGAGAGGCTATCACCTGCCCAGGCCCTGCAACTTCTACTCGACATCCTGGGTGCTTCTCCACTCACCACCACTCTCCCTCACCAGTATGGGGTGCCCACGAAGGAGTTGGCAGGGGCCATAATAGACGCGGAGCCGAAGTCCCCCAGCTTCACCAAGCCTGGCTCTGAAAGCAGGATGTTTCCAGCCTTCACATCCCTGCCAGAAGGGAAGTGCAGGGATGATACGCATGTCAAGAAGCCAGGGCAAATGCTGCAGACTGGGAACCAAGGGCCAGTGCAGGAGCCATACCTATGGATCATGTTGTGGGAGTGCAGATATGCCAGGCCCTGGAGTGCCCCATGGGTCACAGCTGCAATTTCCACCTCCTGAAGGGGCTTCTTGTGTACTGAGGGGGGAACATGACACTGAGGGAGACCACAGGTGGGACTAGAGTGGGTTTCCTTTATCATTTCTCCTATAGGTTCTCTGTTATTCATAGCCGACACGTTGGCTAATGAGACACTTACCTTCTAGGAGGTCAGAAGCTGAGCCCAGGCAATACTCCATCACCAGCTAAGGAAGGGTCAAGTGTTAGAGAGCAGCAGATCCTAGTCACCCTCGGCCCAGCTCCCTTGGGCATAAACGCAAACACCCTCTGCCACTCAGGTAGTGCCCCCAAGGTAATAACAGGGAGAAAGGGCCCACTAGAGAAGGGGGGAGTGGGACAGATCCTAGAGGGAAGGCCTCCGCTAGAAAGAACCCAATACCCTGTCACTCCCACCCGGGTCCCTTTAAAGCCCAAATCATCTCTACCTCCTCCAACCCATGTGCCTTTTTCCAGCTGCTAATAGTACTATGTTATTCTCCTCTGGGAGCAACCCTGCTTCTCAAGTCTGTTAGAGAACTAAAGTGGCCAAGACAGAATGCTTCCTTCCCGAGACCTCACAATGGCACCTGGAACAGGGCCCACTTAAGAGTCTGGACCAAGACAAGCTAGAAGCGAGTATGGCAGGGGGCCAGCTCACCCAAGCTGTGTGTTCCCTCAGGTAACAGCCCCGGTACTGAATGGTATTGGGATGCCGGAGCTTCTGTAAGAACCGCACCTCTTTGATGATGTCCTGCCATTTCTAGGAGGAGGTCAGGGTAGGAGGGGGTTACCCAGCTTGGATCTTGAGACTGGGTCCCCTGCCCACCCAACCTGGTCCTTCTGAGACTGACTCACCTCATTTGATTGCTTCCCACTGTAAGACATCTTCTTGATGGCCACCACCTCGCTATTCCGGACATCCCGGGCCTAGAGGACCAGACCAGAAGGCTGTAAAGGGCCCTGCTGAGTACATGGGAGAGAGAGGACTGGCTGACCCAACAAGAGAGGGCAGAAAAGGCTAGTGTGGTGGAGAAAGACTGTATGCAGGTTCACAGGGTTAAGAACAGTGCCCCAACCCCTAATTTCCCCTCCCCCAAGACCCAACTCACAAAGTATACAGCTCCAAAGCTGCCATGACCAATTTCTCGGAGATCAGAGAAGAGCTTTTCAGGATCATCCTTGAAGAAGAGCTCAGCCACATCAGGGTCCTTCAGGCTCCCGGCCCGGCCCCCAGCTGGCATGGTGGCCCCCGGGGGCCCTGAGAGTGGGACCTGGCCTACAGAATGCAGATGGGAGCCTTAGCGCAAGGATGAGGTCCTCAGAGAGAGGAAGGGGCCCTCAAGTTCCTGCCTTCTCCTCTCATTCACTGCTGAGGGGGAGGCACTGCTGAGGAAGGACAGGGGAGATTAGGAACGTCAAAGCTATAAAAAAAAAAAGTTGCCTTGGCAACCAGATCATGGGGGCCAGGTCCCTGGAGTCCCTAAAACTGCTAGGAAGACTCTAGGAAGCTAAGCATCCTCACCAACCCCTCAGCCTTCAACAAGGTCCCATTTCCCTGCAACTCCTATTTCTTTCCTCAAGGATAAATGGTTCTGCCTTCTAGGCTGGACTCCAGACCCTATGTGTCCTACCCTGCAAGTCCCGCTCCCCCACAACTTCCAGGCACCTTCCTGTTCAACCATGGTGCTGAGGCCCCAGCCCCCCTCAACCTCTCACTGTGCAAGAGAACAGGAAAGGGCCAGGCCGGAGGGAGATCCGGCCATTGTTCTAAGTGGCTACTGGCCTGGACAGGGCCAGAAAACACATTCTCAGAAAGGCAGGGACACTGTGGTAGGGAGGTCCAGAATGGGAAGGACAGGAATTACAAATGGAAAGCCATCTGGCTTTGAGGGCCTCTTTTTGATCTGGACTGCCTTACTGGTCCAGTTCAACTGCACATACAGCACACATAGGGGAGGGCATCTGCAGGGTGTAAACCATGTGCACTCACCATGGATAGTGAGCACCTCACATGGACCACACCTGCTACTCGGTCCTTGCCACAACCATGCGAGTCATGTACTATCATTAACCCTATTCTACAGATGAAGACACAGGCTCAGAAAGGTTAAGTGACTCGCTCTGAGCTGGCTCCCCACCACCATGCTTTCAGAACAGCCCTATGAATCCAGTGGGACAGGAGAAGGATCACCATTTTCCAGATGAAATCACTGAGGCAGAGAGGGAAAAGAACTCCAAGGTCAGAGATCAGGAGCTTCTCCTCCCTATTGAGGCCTGCATGCTCAGCCCCTCCTCCAGGAAGCCTCTCCTGACCACTCCAGCCAGATGCCCAGATGAAGTTCCTGCAGGGCAACAGAACCAGGACCCTCAAGTGATTCCAGAACAGACTCCTGGCTAAGCACTTGTCAGGACATAGGCACAAAAGAACTTCAGCAGAGCTGGACTCCCCAGGCAGAGTTCTAGCTACTTCAAAGCACCTAACAATTTTAGCATGTAATTATATTCTGCCATGCATTGTTTCCTGTTGTGTTGTTAATTTTGTCTTCTCATCCCAACTGGAAGCTGGGGGGCAAGAAGGGAGCCTGACTCTCCAGTGGGCCCCCGGGGTGCAGAGGGCTCAAAATAGCCTGGGAGCTTGATTGATTGCTTTCAGCCCAGCCCTCAGCAGCACCTCGGCTGCTCAAAGCAGGGCCTCTTCTCTTCTCTGCCAGCAACAGTGCCAAGCACCCCTCACCGGCACCACACTCCCACACACAAAGGCAGGTGCTCACAACTTGCCAAGGGAATCTTCCTGACCTCTTTACCAGTACTCAGCCCAAGATTACTAGTACAGGACCCCAGGCCACATGACAGGGGTGCTGAGAACTTGCAATGCATCACTCAGGTCCCTTTCCTCACAATAACAAACACTTAAGCAAATACCAAGGCCTCTGCTAAATTATAACCACCTTCTAAAACAAATAACTTTATCTCCACTCTGCAGATGAGGAAATCTGTCCCTGCACTGTACAGCAGTACATCCCATCTACAATGCATAGCAACAGGGCTTTAAGTTCCTTCTACTTCTTGATCTCCTCTTTGGTTAAATTACAGCATAGGGCTGTTGTGAGATTTTAATGAGATCTCACACTTAGGAACACTATGCAGACACTCAACACAGGATGGATTTTTTTTCCTTTCTTGCTTTCAGGGTTGCCACAAACCTTTAATCCTTTGGGGAATCTGCCCCCAGCTTGGCTTTAACTTAAGAGAGAAACCACTATGGCCATCATTTATCAAAGAGAGCCCTTTCATGAACCCAGGCCAAAGTCTGGGATTGGAATAAAGATGAAGGTCACAGTAGAAAGAAAAATCCATAAGGGAGAGACTGAAGCCAGAGCCTCCCATCAGGAAAAGCTCCTGAGCATGGGCCTCCTGGAAAGGAAACTCACTTTGCACCCTTCACCATTTCTAAACCTCACCCTCACTCATTCTTCTACGGACCCCTGACCAAATCCAGGCTCAGAAAAAGAGATGGCAAAAAACAAGTATGGATCTAGGCCAAGACTTGGCGGGGGACTGGCATTAAAATCCGGATTCTACCACTGTGTGACCTTGGGCAACCTTTCTGGGCCTCAATGTTCTCAACTGTAAAATGGGAAGACAGCAATAAAAGAGCTCCCACAGGATGAATGGAGGATGTCACATGAGATTCAAAATATACATGAAAGTACTTTTTAAGGGGCAGATCCCCTGAGATTGTATGAGATTATTTATATCATCACAGCCAGAGGTAGAAAGGGAAGGTAACTAGCTGAGGGAAAATACTGCCAAGTATGCCACTTCACACACACACTTCCTTGCAAGGGTAAGAAATCCAACCAGACCAGGTCTGAAAAGCAGATAAGCAGACCCACCACCGCAACCAGAGGCATGGGAATCCAGGGCCCCGAGCAGACAGGAAAAGGGACATAACCATGGAGAAGAGGTGACTGTGAGGGGCAGTGAGCAGGGAGAAGACCGGAAGGTGCAAACACATCTGATAGCTCAAACGCCTTAAGGTGTGACCCCAGCTGACATGAGAGGACCAGTTATCTGAAGTCCCCCATCAACTAGACACAATGGAGGGAAGGGGAAAGGGAAGAGGGTTGCAACAGAAGGCAAAGCTAGCCAGAGGCTGATCTCTGCTCGGCTGGGCTTTCCCACCTTGAGGAGAGGGCCTACCCAGGCACAGCTTCTCAGAAACAGCCTTTCTTTTCAGGGCTAGACACAGGGACCCGCGCCCCTGCACCCCGTGTCTCACCTGGTAGGGGTCACTATGGTGCCCCAGCGCCTCCGCTTCTGCCTGGGGTCCTCCAGCGGTTCTGCCAAGCAGGGAGAGGGGCAAGGAGACCTTTCCCCTTGCCACCTCTTCCTCAGCTTTCGCCCTTCCTGAGGGGCGGGCCTGGGAAACCTCCTCTGGAGGGGAGGGGGTGACAACCTGATCTGACCTCTCGGTCCAGTCCTTCCCCAATTCGAGGGCGACAGTTGCTGAATCCCGGATTTCTGACCGTGGGGCCTAAACCCCGTATATTTGCAAGTGGACAAAATGAATCCGATATTTGAACGCCTGGGGAATGAACCCCGGATTCTGAGCCACGCAGGGGCCTGAACCCCAGGTATTTTAAATGTAATAAAACAGAGACCCAGGGTTAAAGAGGTTGGGATCCGAGTCCCGGATATCTGAAATAGGAGAGCTGCTACCTGGGTATATGAAAAGCGAGGGGACTAGCCTAGAGACTGGGGACCCAGGGGCCTGAGCCCCAGGTCCTCGGCCACCGACAGGGGGCCCACCCCGAGGACGTCCGGCCGCACGGCCCCTCTCACGCGGGGGTCCGAGGGTGACAGGCCCCACTCCCGCCCTGGCCTCCTCCCTTTCCCCTCCTCTCTCCCGAGGGCGGACGAAAGACTGTAGCTAAGGCGATGCTGAGGGGCCCCGCGCCCTCTCCCCCGTCTTCTCCGTCTCAGCCTCTCCGCACCACAGCCCCGCTCTGGTCCCGGTCTCCCTCTCCCTCTTCCTCCCAATTCCAAGATGGAGACCGGGCGGGAGCGCGCAGGCGCAGTGGGGACGCCGGGCCGAAGGGGCTGGGCCCCAAAGAAAACGGCTCCACCCCTCCTTCGTCGCCGCTGCGGCCCGGGAGACCAGCAGCCACTGTGACCCAGTGCGCGCGCGCCCCGCCACGCGGACCTCGAGTGGGAGGAGGCGCGGAGAAGGGATAGGCTGGCAGGGGGAGGAGCCCAGTGGGCTGTTGGACGACTGGCGGCAGAGAGCGCTGCGGCGCACGCGCTCGCCCCGCCTTCGCTCGGTGCCGGAGCCTGTTGCTAGGGGAAGCTTTGATCGGTGCGGGAGGAAGAAAGAAACCGCGATCTGCGCCTGCGTGAAGGGTAGAGGCTGGGAGCGGCAAGGGAAGGCAGTTGCTGGGCACAGAAAAGGCGGGAAAACGGTCCGCTCTGCTATAACCATCCAGCCTACACCTGGGCCCTCAAGTGCGAGGCGTCTTTGCATGTCAATATTGGGAAAACTTAACTGGTTAAATTCCTTCGGGAAACTGGGGCCTTGTAGAGTTGCATGACTTGCTCAAGGTCGCAGTGCACTTACAAAAAGGCATTTCCTTGACTTGACATGCCTCTCCCAAGTAGCTGGAATTATCAATCTTATTTCATGGAAGAAGACAACTCAAAATGGTAGCTCTGTGCCAGGCAAGGTGGCAGCACACCTGTATCCCAGCACTCTGGGAAGACAAGGCCGGAATTGCAGGTTCCAGCCCAGTCTGGACAACTTAGTGACTACTTTCGGTCCCAGGCGGAGAAGGCTCCATAGAGGGTTGTCTCAAAATAAAAAGGGCTTCTTCACACCCCAGTGCGAAGGCTCTGGGTTCAATCTCCAGAACCAAAAAAAAAGAGCTGGGATCAAATCCAGGTATTTTCCAAAGTCAAGTCACATCCATGGAAAGAAAATAGTAACCTAAGCCCTGTGTCAACCTGTACCACAAACTAAAGTCAACCAAAAAAAGTCTCCCAAACTTCTCAAACCTGTCTACACACACTAGAACTCAATCCAATACCCCAAAAACATTTTAGACAATACTGGGCAATAAAAAGCCTTTTATTTTCCCCCACATTCCAGCACTTCACTATTTGTAACATTTCTTCCAACTCAGAACCAAGGCCCAAGAAGTTGGTTCACACCTAAAGGGGGAAAAAAAAGACCTATTAGGGAGGCCCTAGGGAAGCTCTGGGATGACTGCAGAAATCGAGAAAGGGGCAGAGGGAGTGGCAAAGAGATGGCTCAGGTATTCAATCTCACTGGGGTGGCTGTAGGACCCTAGGATCTGCTAGGGTCCAGAAAGCCTCCTTCCCAGTCCCAGGCTGGGAAGGCACCACCGCTTCCTCCCTCAGTAGTAGCTGGGGCAGTGAATGCTAGCCTCAGCAAAACTAGCAAAGCTGAACTTGAGCTTCTAGTTCCTCTGGCCTGAGCAGTTTCTTGTGCCTGCTCCGTTTCCACTTCTCCCACAGTAATTTCCTAGGGCACAGCAGCCAGCTGATGCTTAGACTGGCTGGTTTAAGCTCTTGATGCATGACATATGGCTCTCAAGTTGTATGACACCCACCTGACATGGCAAGAATTTTTGCAGAAATAGGTTTTCCTGGATAAGCTGACATGTGAACTTGTTAGGCAGTATGTCCTCCGCCCCCTGCTACCTTTTTGAAATTAATTTTTTTGTTTTTGCAGTACTGGGGATTGAACCTAGGGCCTCCCACTGAGCTACATCCCCAGCCCTTTTGATTTTTTTAGACAGTATATGTAGCCCAGGCTGGCCTCAAACTTATGGCGATCCTCCTGCCTCGGCTGAGTGCTGGGACTACAGCCATGCGCCACCTCATCTGGCCCATTTATTTTGAGACAGGGTCTTGCTCAGTTGCCCAGGCTGTCCTCAAACTTGCAGCCTCCCTTCCTTAGCCTCCAGAGTAGCTGAGACTATAGGCTTAGCATCAACTTCTTAATGCAATGATGACTAAATGGAAGAGTGCATGTAAAGTGCTTGGGCATGTAATACTGTATGTGCCTAGTAAATGGGCACCATTCATTAGATCTTCTGAGCTGTTCCAGTTGAATTTTACAAAATTTGCATCATACAATTAGGAATCAGAATTCCAGGACACTGTTCTTCTCCGCCATCTTTCCTCTTTGCTGCCAGCTACCCCATGAAGGTCAAGCTGAGCAGTTTTGGTACAAGATCTACCCAGGACACGGGAGGCGCTGATCCAGACCACCAGGAAGGTTTTCGTTTCTTAATGCAAAACGCAAGTCTGCATTCCTTTTCAAGAGGAATCCTCAGCAGATAATTTGGAATGTCCTCTACAGAAGAAAGCACAAAAAGGGACAGTTGGGAGAAAATCAAAAGAAAAGAGCACGGTAAGAAGTCGAATTCCAGAGGGCCATCACTGGTGCATCGCCTGCTGATATAATGGTCAAGAGGAGTCGGAAACCAGAAGTTGGAAAGGCCCAAAGACAGCAGGCTACCAGGGCTGCCAAGGAAGCCAAAAAGGCTAAGCAAGCATCGAAAAAGACCGCCATGGCTGCTGCTGAGGCTCCCACAAGGCAGACCTACACAGAAGGCTGGGAAGCCTGTGAAAGTTTCTGCTCCCCAAGCCGGTGGGAAACGCTAAACTGGCAGATCAGATTTTTAAATAAAGATCTGTAATTCTAAAAAGAAAAAAAAGGAATTTCAGGACAAAAGCAAGACAAACATGATTCACATTCAGGAGCAATCATCAGATTTTAACCCTCTTAACTCACTATTATTGCCAAAAATTATGGATGTGAACTATAGCAATGGGTGAATCTTAAAAACAGAATGTTACTTGAAATAAACTGGTCAGAAGAGAATATAGCTGGGTACAGTGGTGTACGCCTATAATCCTCGCTACTGAGGAGACTAAAGCAGGAGGATCACCATGAGTTCGAGCCCAGCCTGAACTACATAGCAAGACCCTGTCTCAAAAAAAGCCTGTAACAGGGCTGAGGATTTAGCTCAGTGGTTCTGTCACCTGCCTCGAAAATGCCAGGACCCAAGTTCGATCCCTGGTACCAAAAAAAAAAAAAAAAAAAAAAAAACCACCTGTATCCAGTTACCTCTGGGGAGAGGAGCTCGTACTTGGGAGGGGACCATGAGCTTCTGGAGTGCTGGTAGTATGTCATTTTTTTCTTTGGGTGATATTTACATTTATGATAATTCTCCAGGTTGCACATTTATATTTTTGGACTTTTATGATAATTCTCCAGGTTGCACATTTATATTTTTGGACTTTTCTATATGAATGTTAACTATTTTGTAATAATAAAGTAAAAATAAGAACAAAAATGTCACATGCTTATGGTGTAAGTTTTTCCCAGTTCCCACAGGGATGGATACGATTTGGCCACCAGGGCTCTCAGAGACTCCTGAGGAGCAGTGTTGGGGGTAGATGCCAAGGGCAGCCCCACCACCCCCAGCTCCGTGGGACTGGGGCACAGAACCTCACCTGAGAACACAGCAGGACACGGCACCTCCCTCAGAGCTGGAGTCGGGGCCAGTGGGACTCCCGGCACCGGTGGAAGCACGAAGCGGAGACACAGCAGAGCAGGCCACAGACGAGCAGGAGAGAGCCCAGGACCTGCAGCCTGGAGCCACACAGCGCCAGCTCCTCCTGGGGGGAGAGGGAGGGGTGATGACTGAGGGCAGGTGATCTCTCCCAGCCCTCAGCCCAAGGGCATCTCAGCAGCAGCTGAAGGGAAACATTACTTTTCTACAAGTTGACATCTGTCTCCCATCTTTTACAAGCTGTTTTCTTGCCCAGCCATAAACCTGAACTCTCAGAATGACTCCCCTGAGGCAGAAACGTTTGTTCGCTGTTACCTATATTTTGGGTTTTTTTTTTTGGTACCGGGATTGAACTCGGGTCCTTACGCTTGCGAGGCAGGTGGCGGCACCCCTGAGCTCACTCCCCGGCCTGCTACCCACATTTCAAAGACTGGGCAAGCTGGGCCAGGGTGTGCTCTGCTCAGTCTTTGCAGATGTGCAGTGCAGGTTCGGTGGCCTCCTGGCTGGCCTCTCCTTACCCAGCATGCGCCAGAGCCCTCTCTCCCTCAGAGCCCTCAGTCACCCCACTTCTCTGTCAAGTTGGACCATCCACAGTGCCTCTCTCAGCCCCTGCCATCTCTCCGGTCTCTTCAAGTCACTCCTAACCCTCACCAGCGAATGCCCTCAAGGCCGGACACTTCTCGACCAGTCTCCCGCACTCCCGGCCACAGCTAACTCCTTCCGTAGGCCTCAGCCTGCCAGGGCAGAAGGCCTGGGCTGCTGTCCTGTCTCTGCCACTTAAGCACTTGTGCGGCCTCAGGCAATTCCCTCCCTTTCTCTAGAGATGTTTCCTCATCTGTAAAATGGGATAATATCACCTACCTCAAAAGGGTATTTTAAAATCAAATGAGCCGGGGATTTAGCCCAGCGGTTTCACTGCCTGCTGCGCAAGCACAAGGACCTGAGTTCGATCCTCGGTACCAAAAACAAAAAAAACCAAAAAACCAACAAGATCAAATGAGTATGAACCTGAAAGCACTTTGTACATTATAAACCACAGCACACCATTCTTTCTTGAGCGCCACCTTCTCTAGGAAGCACTCTCCACACAAGCTCCAGTTGAGGGTTAATTGCTCCTTTGTGGTGTTTATATGGTCACATCTCTAGGTCAGCAATTAGCCCTTCTGCCCTTTGTTACAGCTTCTGACTTCCTCTGAGGTACAGCTCACATTTTATCTTATCCAAAGCCAATAGCATGCATAATAGCTGTCATTAATCAGACCTCTGTCCTGCACTGGGCGCTGCATTGAGCGCTGCACTGAGCGCGTGTCATTCTCAAGCAGTCCTTGCCTGCTATGACTAAGGCAGCACCAAGCTCTCTGTGTGACAGACGAGAAAACCGAGCCGGGAGAGGTTCAGGTGCTTTCTGCAGGCCACACAGCCTCTGAGGTAGAGAACAGAAAACCCATGTTTTTTCTACTAGGTAAAATCCCCTCCTGGAGCCTGCAGGACACAACAGCATTCAGCACAGCAGTCTGCAGCACCCTAGGGCTGACTGGGGCTCTTACCGAGGTGAGCAGCTGAGTGAGCACCAGGCCTTCGTGGCTCCAGACCCTGATGCACTGCTCACCCATCCCAGGGCTTGGGGTGGCGTTTCCTACTCCCTCTTCTGAGCAGGATATGGGGGGCGGGCTGGAGGGTAGGGCTCCTGGGCCAGCACTGAAATACAGACAGGTTCCTGCAGCCCCTTCTGTGGCCACCCTGGCTGTGATGAGGATGGGCTCTGCTGAAGAAGATCCTGTGGGGGCCAGGAGAGGAGATGGAGCAAATGGAGCAAAAGCGGAGCGGGAAGGGCCGCCCTCCTCAGCCCCCTGCTCACGCCCAAGCACGCTGTGACACTGGGCATTGATTCTACTCAACAGAGCATTCTGTCTACTACACCACTTGCACCATGGAGGAGTGAAAACAGCCCTGCAGCCATAGCAACACAATTTAACTGAAATTTGCTTACAATCAATGTAACAATCATACCAATACTCTCAAGGTTGCGGTGAGAAAGGCAGTACACACTATGTCATTTTGTACAAACCTACTTGACCTTTTGAAAGAAGCAGTTTTTCCAGTAGGTCCCAAAATTCAATAAAAGGTTTTTATACCCTATTTGAAACTGTGGGGAAAGGATGTAAATGGCCTTGGGGTAATTCCCATGTGGGAAAAAATATACAGTTACACTTTTATCTCACAATATAAAGTGAAATTTTTAAATGGGTGTGGTGGCACAGGATTGTAATCCCAGCACCTGGGAGGCTGAGGCAGGAGGATTGCCTCAATTTCAAGGACAGTCTGGGCTACATAGTGAGTTCAAAGCCAGCCTGACTACATAGCAAGACCCTATGTCAAAAAGCAAAACAAAAGATCCAGACTAACAAAGAATTATACAAAGTTAAAAATCAATTTAAGGCCTGGGGATGTAGCTCAGTGGTTCCGCCAGCTGCCTCAAAAGCACAAGGTTCCAAGTTCAATCCCTGGTACCAAAAAAAGGACACAAAAACAATTTAAGCAAGTATTAAAAGAAAATACAGAAGTATATTTTACAATTTTAAAGTGAGGAGGCCCTCTTAAAATATCCACAAAACCTGGAAGCTTCCTAAAGCCCTTCCTAAAGGGCAAGAGCAATAAGTCTAACCTCATAAAAGTTAGATTTCATACAATGAATGATAAATTTAAAAAACAACAGGCCTGGGCCAGGGATGTAGCTCAGTGGCACCACACCTGCCTCACAAGCGAAAGGTCCTGAGTTCAATCCCCAGTATCAAAAAAATAAATAAAAATAAATTTTAAAAAAAGTTTATCATAGGGCCAGGGATTTGGCTTAGTGGGTCTGC